ATATATCTAAGTTTACCTTAGCAAAAGTCCCTGAACTTGGAGAGCCACTGATAACTGTTGATGGCAGTTGGTGATTAATTTTCTCTCTAATAGTAATAATTTTATTATAGAAGAAGCTCATGAAGTCATTGCTACTTAAGTTTATGGGGATATGTGGCTCAATAGAGTTGTGGCTCTCTGTCAGCCTGGCTACAGTGCTGAAGAGGAACCTAGGGTTGTTCTTATTTTCTTCTATTAGTGCTGAGTAATAGGCTCCTCTGGCATTAAGGAGGGCCTTTCTATAAGTTTTTAAATTATCTTGCCAAATTGAGTGATATTCTGATAATTTGGAAGAGCGCCATTTCCTTTCAGATTTCCTAGCTATTTGCTTTAACTGGCGGGTTTGGTGGTTGTACCACGGTGCTAGTCTCCTATGTTTGAATAATTTCCTTTTTATACGAGCGATTGAGTCTAATGTTGATCGTAGTGAGCCTGCAGCACTATCGACAAGATTATCAATTTCAGAGGGACTAAAGTTGTTATAGGACTCTGTTAAATTCAGACATGGCATTGAATTAAACACTGAAGGAATCTCCTCCTTAAATTTAGCTACAGCACTGTCAGATAGACATCTGCTGTAGGAAGTTTTGCCCAATAATTTATAATCCAATAGCATGAATTCAAAAGTTATTAAATAATGGTCAGATAGGAAAGGATTATGTGGGAAGACTATTAAATGTTCAATATCAATGCCATATGATAAAACAAGGTCAAGAGTGTGATTAAAACAATGAGTTGGTTTATTTACACTCTGACAGAAGCCAATTGAGTCTATTAATGATATAAAAGCGTTACTAAGGCTGTCATTGTTAACATCCACATGAATATTAAAATCACCTACAATAATTACTTTATCTGATTTAAGGACTAAACTTGATAAAAACTCTGAGAATTCAGATATAAAATCAGAGTACGGTCCAGGAGCGCGGTACACTATAACAAATAGAACTGGCTGCAGTGTTTTCCAGTTTGGGTGAGAAAGACTAAGAACAAGGCTTTCAAATGAATTATAATTTAGTTTAGGTTTTGAGTCCATTAAAACGCTCGAATCATATATGGCTGCTACTCCACCTCCTTGGCCGGTGCCTCGAGGAATGTGATTATTAATATGACTGGGGGGGTGGATTCATTTAGGCTAACATACTCCTGGTGGGACAACTAGGTCTCAGTAAGACAAAGTAAATCAATTTCGTAATCTGATATTAATTAATTCACTAAAACAGCTTTAGAGGAGAGAGACCTGATATTTAACAGTCCACATTTCATTCTCTTATTTTGTGCTACTGACGAGTTGTTTTTAATTTTTATTAGATTTTTATGTTGAACTCCTCTTGTTTTAATTTCTTTAAATAATTTTGGTGGTCGGGGGACAGACACAGTCTCTATGGGGTTTTGGGTGGGTGACTGTTCTAAAGAAAGCGCAGAGAAGTGTGTAAGACAGCAGCTCTGCTTCCTGGTCCCAACTCTGGACCGTCAGGTTTTAGAAATAAACTTTGCCATATTTCTAGATAAGAGAGCCACTCCATCCAAAGTGAGATGGATGCTGTCTCTCCTAATCAGACCAGGTTTTCCCCAAAAAGGCTTCCAGTTATCAATGAAGCCCACATCATTTTCTGGACACCACCTCGACAGCCAGCGGTGGAATGACGACATGCGGCTATACATGACATCATTGGTCACATTGGGCAGGGGTCCAGAGAAAACTACGGAGTCCGACATAGTTTTGACATAGTTACACACCGACTCCACATTAATCTTAGTGACCTCCGATTGGCATAATCGGGAGTCATTACCGCCGGCGTGGATAACAATCTTACCATATTTACGATTATCTTTAGCCAGCACTTTTAAATAGGATTCAATGTCGCCCGCTTTGGCCCCAGGGATACATTTAACTATGGCCGCTGGCTTCGCTAACTTCACGTTTCTGACTATGGAGCTGCCAATAACCAGAGTTGGTTCCTCAGCGGGTGTATCGCTGAGTGGGGAAAATGTATTAGAAACATGAATGGGTTGGTGGTGAACTGTGGGCTTCGGTGTTTTAGTCTTCCTTCGCTCAGTCACCCAGCCTCCCTGTCTTCCCGGCTGCTCGGGAACTACCGGAGGATCTACCGGAGGGCGGGAGACGGCTAGCAGAAGCTACCTTCGGTCGGACCGTATCGGCTACTGGGGGCTGGCTAACTATAGCAGCTTAAGATATCTCCGTGGTGCGGTGCCGTTCCTCTAACTCACTAAGCCTCGCCTCCAGCGCAGTAAATAAACTACATTTAATACACGTACCATTATCATTAAAGGAGGCAGAGGAATAACTGAACATCTGACACACTGAGCAGGACAGAGGAGAGGGAGAGGGAGGAGCCATAGCTAACTGCTAATGCTAATGAAGCTAGCGTGTATGAAAAACTTTGAAAATAGCGAAAAGTCACTGAAAGAAGGAGTAACTCCGAGTGTTTAGGTAGAACTAGTCTATGTTTAAATGTTAAGCGGGAAAATAACCGCTTTAACGAGAAAAACTAATTTATATTTAGCGTTCACTGACAGAGCTACAGCACCAAACAGTGTACACAGAGCAGGAAGTAAACCGGGAATGAGTCAGTACGCTTACCGTAGCACGCCACGTCACGTACAGTAGATTATAGATGCGTACAGTTGATACGTACAGTAGATTATAGACACATACAGTTTATTATAGATGCGTACAGTTGATCATAGATAGATTATAGATATGTACAGTTGATTATAGATGCGTACAATAGATTATAGATGCATACGCAGGGCTCCAGTCAAACTTTTTCTCATTGGTTGCACTGGTGCGCCTAACTTTTCTTTTTTTTCGGTGCACCAGCACAAAATTTAGGTGCACCCAAATTTTTCAATGCTTTGCCTTTAATGCCATAAGGTCACCTTTTTATCGCTCTCCATTACTTTCATATAATGTGAATGATTTTTAAACAAGAATAAGGTTTAGAGAAATGCTTGTCTTAATTTGAAGCACAATTATATATAAAAAGAAAAATAAAGTGTTTAAAGTAAACTAAAACACTAAGCAAAATAAAACATTTCCAAATAAAAGTGCTTGTGCTTAAATTGCTTCACCAAACTGGCATTGAACATTTCAAACTCAAACATTTCAAGTAAAATAATTATTAATGATAATAATAATAATTACTACTACCTGCTGCTGAAATGCAGCTGGGAGAGGGGCCACTTTCTCTACACACACTTATCGTGTGTTTTTTAGACATATGTTTTTTTAAAGTTTTGATACGAAACGTTGTTGACCCGCTCACGAATGCACTATTTGCGGCCATATTCTGACCGCACTCCTGACAGTACACGCAGTGCATTGCGTTACGTCCTTTGTTGTACCTCAGCCAGGGAAATTGTTTCAGTCAGTCCTGTCTGAAGGAATATATTTTGACCTTTTTAATTTGGGTCTCGGAGCCGGGCTCTATCCCAGACTCGCTTTTCTCCTTCTCTGGTTCCGAGTCTGATGCTGTCGCCGAAGGACCAGGGCTTGGTATCTCACCAGGGACCGAGGGTTCCGTGTCTTGACGGGATGGACTCTCAGTAGTGGGGATGGATGGGATTATAGTAGTAGGGCTGGTTGTAGGCTTGGTTTTCTTAATGAAAACAACTTTCAATATTTCTGCCTCTCCTCATTTTCCCTCGTTTTGTCGCGTTTATTTTATTTTTCCGTTTCAGTTAGTCAGCTACTCTTGCGCTCAGGTCGCGCACAATTTTTAAACACACGCAACTTAGCGCGGTGAACAGGACAACAGCCAATCAGAGGCAAAGACCCGCCCGAGCTCTGTCTCTTATGGGTTTAGAACACGATATGATCCTACCATGAGTGTGTGAGTTCAGTCACAGGAGAACACAGAGAGATGATGCGCTTGCAAAATAAATTGTTATGTTTTCACCTGGGCAGCATCAGGTGCACCAGTGCGACCTAGAAAAATTATTAGTCGCACTCTTAAAAATTTTGGTCACATGTGCGACCAAATTGGCCCTGGTACAGTTGATACGTACAGTACATTATAGATACATACAGTTTATTATAGATACGCACAGTAGATTATAGATACTTACAGTTGATACGTACAGTAGATTATAGATGTGTACAGTAGATTATAGATACGTACAGTTGATACGTACAGTAGATTATAGATGTGTACAGTAGATTATAGATACGTACAGTATATTACAGATACGTACAGTAGATTATAGATGTGTACAGTAGATTATAGATGTGTACAGTAGATTATAGATACGTACAGTTGATACGTACAGTAGATTATAGATGTGTACAGTAGATTATAGATACGTACAGTATATTACAGATACGTACAGTAGATTATAGATGTGTACAGTTGATACGTACAGTAGATTATAGATGCGTACAGTAGAATATAGATGCGTACAGTAGATTATTGATACGTACAGTTGATACGTACAGTAGATTATTGATACGTACAGTAGATTATTGATACGTACAGTTTATTATAGATGTGTACAGTAGATTATAGATACGTACAGTAGATTATAGATATGTACAGTTTATTATAGATGCATACAGTAGATTATAGATGCGTACAGTTGATACGTACTGTAGATTATAGATACATACAGTTTATTATAGATACGTACAGTAGATTATAGATACGTACAGTTGATTAAAGATACGTACAGTAGATTATAGATGCGTACAGTTGATTATAGATACGTACAGTTGATTATAGATACATACAGTTGATACGTACAGTAGATTATAGATATGTACAGTAGATTATAGATACGTGCTGTTGATACGTACAGTTGATGTGTGTGTGTGTGTGTATATACACACGCAATATGTGTATATGCAGCAAATGTATTGTCTTATTAACATTAATAATGTGAATTCAATGAATGCTTGTGGCCACATTACAAAAATAATGCAACTCTGTACGACTCAACAGGAAGTGCTGAAGCAGCTGCAGGGCACCATAGAAGAAGAGTCTGGAGATGCGTCTGGCTCGCAGCTGGAACTTATCGAGAGACTGAAGGGTGAATGAAACACACATTTACAGTGTACACACACAAACACACACACAGTGAGTAATCCGACATCCGTGTCTCTCCTCCAGAGATGAGCCTGGACTCTGCAGGTTTTAAGTCCAGGTCGAGGCCTCCTGTGCCCCCCTCATCCTCCTCTAGCTCTGCCTCTTCTGGCTCTGGAACTCCTGGAGGAGCAGCTGGAAGCTCTGGAGCTGCAGGCCCCCCGACAACTGCTGCCTTCCCCAGGAGAGGGCTGCCCTCTGCGGGCAGAGACAGCCATGACCGCTGCCTGGAGGAGCTGGAGAAAGAAAGGTACTGCTGAGAGTACTACCATTATTGTAATACCTGAATTACCAATACTACTGCTGCTCTGTGATTGGCTGCTGCTGCCTGGCAGGTCTCTCCTGTTGGCTGAGCTAGAGAAAGAAGAGAAGGAGAAGGACTGGTATTACGCTCAGCTGCAGAATCTCACCAAGAGGATCGATAGTCTGCCACTCACTGAAAATGTAAATCAACTTTTATTAATGTACATTTTTACTACCACACAGATGTACTAGAACTGTCTCAGATTTATGTCTGTAGTTAAAGTGTAGTTTTATGTCTGTAGTTCACTCTACAGACGGACATGAGTCGTCGTCAGCTGGAGTTCGAGGCTCGTCAGATCAGGTCAGCGATGGAAGAACAGCTGGGCTCCTGTCAGGAGATGGAGAGGAGAGCTCAGGTAGGGACTCACCTGGAGCCTGTTTCACCTGTCTGAAGGTGTCAGTCTGTCTCACTGGCTCTTCAGTGAGCATGCTCAGTAGAGAGTTGGGACACACATTTACACTGTGTGTGTGTGTGTGTGTGTGTGTGTGTGTGTGTGTGTGTGACTGTGTGTGTGTGTGTTCAGGCTCGTGTGTCTCGTATTCAGCAGATAGAGAAGGACATCCTGAGACTGGGAGCTCGCCTGCAGGTAACCACACCTTTTCTGTGACCTTGTTTTAGTTTCTGATCAAATAAAACTGTAGTTTTTATTTATTAATTCTGCTCTTTCTCTCCAGGTAGAGGAAGCTCAGGGGACAAGTGACAGCAGTGGATTGGCTGGAGCTCAGGTGAGTGTCCAGTCCTTCTTTCTTCTTCTTTCTTTTTTAAAATCTTGTTTTAATTGTTCTTTTTTTGTTCCTCCTTCAGAGCTCCAGCAGCCGTTTGGACCACGAGCCGGCCAATGATGCAAGCTACTCTGTGCCTCGACGAATCACCAGCCACCTGGGAACCAAGGTAACACTGCTGCCAGCCTTCTCCTGACCCTCCGCCAAAATACTGTGATTATAACCCCCATATAACTAGTTAAGCCTCTGTATCGCCCCCTGCAGGTGGAGATGGTGTACAGTCTCCTGTCCATGTTGGGGACTCATGATAAAGATGACATGTCACGGACGCTGCTCGCCATGTCGAGCTCGCAGGACTCGTGCATTGCCATGCGTCAGTCTGGCTGTCTGCCACTGCTCATCCAGCTGCTGCATGGCAACGACAAGGACTCCCTGTTGCTAGGTAACCACTGTTCCAGAGGTAAAATGTTTCCTGTCAGGGTACCTTTTTATTAATATTTTTCTCGCTGGCCAGGTAACTCTCGTGGCAGTAAAGAGGCTCGAGCTAGGGCATCTGCAGCACTGCACAACATTGTTCACAGTCAGCCGGACGACAAGAGAGGCAGGCGTGAGATTAGAGTGCTCCACCTGTTGGAGCAGGTGCGTCATTACTGCGAGGCATGCTGGAGCTGGCAGGAGAACCACGAGAGGGGAGTTGACCAGGAGGACAACCCCAGTGAGTGGTGTCATATATACTGTCTTATTTATATTTATATTTATATATATATATATATATATATATATATATAGATATATATATATATATATATTGATGTAAGGTAGACGCTCAACAAGATGTCCATTATCAGGAATTATTGGACTTCGCGGAGGCGCTGCGTGTCGGACTGTTCTGGCCTCCACGTCGTCCATTAGTTCCTGATAATGGACACCTCATTGGGCGTTACCCCACTTATACCATGGTCACTTGCCAAAGAAAAAATTCATCAGTCATTATTTTATATTTTTCAATAAAAATCTAGATTTCTACAAGCAATAACTCTGGTAACACCAAACACACAAGACATAAAACTAGACTTTAACTACAGACATAAAACTACAGACATAAAACTACACTTTAACTACAGACAAGCCAAAGAGCTAACATTATGCTAACCAGATTCAAAGACACTGTGTACGGTTGACAGAATATAGCTAAATATAAGTATGTTTAACAACAAGACTAGCAGCTATCAGCCATGTTATTGTCCCCCAATCGATTATAGAAAGTATCAGTGAGTTCAGACAGGTAGTGCTGGACTGTGGTCTTCAGAGGCTGAAGGTCTCAGTGTAGTGAAATATATTTATGAGATATTCAGATTTTAATTTATTTCATCCCATTAATTTAGAATGGTAATCAGACAGTTTCACTAGAACTACTTAGTAGGTGTCCTACATCAGGAATTAATGGACACCAAGCAGCCAATCCAATATTCAGCCAGACCATGGTATAACGTTAATATTGTCTTTATATAGAAATATTGTTTATATATAGAAATGTATTGTGTTCAGTGCCGTCTCCAGTGGAGCATCAGATCTGTCCTGCCGTCTGCGTCCTCATGAAACTTTCCTTTGATGAAGAACATCGACATGCCATGAACGAACTCGGTGAGTCTGATATCTGTATATTATTATTATTATTATTATTATTAGGGACCGAAGTGCAAGGACCTATTGTTTTACAAGGAATTATTATTATTATTATTATTATTTTCTACTCTTAAAACGCATATTTGGAGGCTGACACGTGCTCAAAAACTCATGAAACACAGCGCACGTCAGTCGTGGCGAAAAATTTGATATTGTATGCGTCGCTTTCGGGTCAGCCACTAGGTGGCGATACTATTGAGAAAAGAATTTTCCCTTTTTGTTTACTGGATAACTTCCGCATAGTTTGTCGCACATTCAAAAACCTTATATCTACGCGTTCGGTGAATGGAGCTGAATCTCCCCATATAGGCCATGCCCGCTTCCGCCTAGATTTGTTTTTTTTCTAGAGCGCAAAATGTCGATAAACTACTTTTTGGTGTTCCTCCTATGCGCTTTGTCCAATTCGCACAAAAGTTTTCACAAAGCATCTGTGGAATAAGCATGTTATAAAATTAGCATTTCCTGTTAAGTTTTCATCAAAAAAGGAAGTGGACCATTTCTCCACATTGGTATCTCCGATTGACACCAAGCTTGGGTCCATAGTTGCCCATATCTTTCTTAGGCATCATGCACAAATTCAGGCCATTTCCACAAGGTGGCGCTCTTTAAAATTAAGAGGTTTATATCTCCATAACAGCACGTGTGATTAAAATGAAACTTAGTACGATGCTTGCCCATAGCTCCCTGAGGCTCGCTAATAAATGTGTCAACAATCCGCCACCAGGTGGCGCTCTGGTATAGTTATGAATATGAAATTCACAGGCCACGTGTAGAGTGGTGCCTGTAGCTCACATACCAAAAATCATGTTTGTCGTGGTTGTAGCGCCCCCTATAGAATTTCTAAAGAGCAGTCCCGGCGCCACGTTTCACCGATATGTATGAAACTCGGTAGGCATGTCCAACGTGCCAAGAAGTACAAAAAAGCCTCTGGGACCCATACCCCAAACCCCACGGGAAGTCGGCCATTTTGATTTAAATTTACACTTTCTGCAAATTTTTCGCCTTGTATTTGAACAAACCCGTTAAAATGTACGTATTAGATTGGGTTCAAATTTTGTCAGTAAAGTCAGAAAATGGTGCTGATTAAAAGTTGTGCTATTTGTGACTGTACATTGAAGGGCGTGTCCGTGGCGTGCCGTTAAAGTTGGTCATTTTGAACGAATGTCAAACTGTGATGTCATTTTTGGCATTTCAGGGCTTCTATTTTAACTAACTCCTCCTACAGGTTTTATTGGATCTACTTCAAAATTGGTCAGTGCAGTCAGTTTTTTTCGTGGAACATTGTGCCCGTGGCGTGGCGTCCCGTGGCATCCAATTTCAAACCTTCGCCATGAAAGAGGGATTCGTCATCTCAATGAAACTTCACATGTTTGATAAGAGTCCCACCCTGAACACGTCTATGTGATAATATTCAGTAAAAGTGAGAGCGCCACCTAGTGGTGAAAGGAAATGTCATTTTTTTATACTTCCATGTTCTACTCCTAGCAGGATGATCAGATCCAGCTGAAATTTACTTATGAAATGCAAAACACATTGTTGATGATATGTGATGAATGTTGTGAGTGGGTGTGTCTATGGCGTGGCAGGAAATTTTGATGTACCGCCACGAAACACGAATTCGCTATAACTTGAGTGTACATTGTCCAATCAGCTCCAAACTTCATATGTCTGATAAGAGTCCCGCCCTGAACACATAGTTATAGCGCCACCTAGCGGCAACAGGAAGTAAGTGCTGCGTGGCTATTTTGAGCTGATTTACGTGACATTTTCATTCAATTTTATTTGTATAGCGCCAATTCATAACAGAAGTTATCTCAGGACACTTTTCAAATAGAGCAGGTCTAGACCGAACTCTTTAACATTAATTACAGAGACTCAACAGTACCACCATGAGCAAGCACTTGGCGACAAGGGCAAGGAAAAACTGCCTGTTAAAAGGCAGAAACCTAGGACAGATCCTCCGGCTCTAGGTGGGTGGTCGTCTGTCTCGACCAGTTGGGGTGAGAGAGAGAGAGAGAGAGAGAGGCAGAGAGAGAGAGAGAGAGAGACAGACAGACAGACAGACAGGTGCACAGCAACAACAGTATTGGCAATGGCAGTCAAGCAGGACCATGGCAGGAGGCTCCACCAGGATCCATGAGAACCTGCGAGACGAGAAAGCACAAGAACTCCGGGGAAGAAGTGGAGTTAGTAACATGCATTAACATACATTAATGGAACATGAATGTTGTGGTCCGCACGTGTTACGACGGCACGTGACGCGGGCGCAGCCAGCCTGAGTTGCGTGGAGTGCGAGGTCCCGTCCAACGCTGCTTGCAGCTTTAATTATTATTATTATTATTATTATTATTATTATTACTATATATTTACTTTTCAACTTTTTAAAGCTGATTTTTATTAATGTTTAGCTTGATAAAATGTCATTTTACATTTGATCAGTTTTTTATGCTTTATAATGCAGATTTGTAAGGATATTTTGAGCGATATTGATATTTTCTGTCTCTGTGTGGGTTTTTTGTCCCTGCAGGTGGTCTGCAGGCAGTGGCGGAGCTGCTGCAGGTGGACTGTGAGATGTTCGGTCTGAGCAGCGATCATTACAGCGTCACGCTGAGGCGTTATGCCGGCATGGCGCTCACTAACCTCACCTTCGGAGACGTGGCTAATAAGGTCGGAGGAAAACACAAACATGTTTACGTGTTGTTCATGTTTCTCTCTTAACCAATCAGATCACAGCGTTGTGTTGTTTGTCCCATCAGGCCACGCTGTGCTCCATGAAGGGCTGTATGAGAGCGATGGTAGCCCAACTGAAGTCTGACAGTGAAGACCTGCAGCAGGTACATTCACCTGTTACCATGGCAACCATCTGACCCCTGTTCTCAGTTCAGTGTCTGATTTTGCGATTATTTTGTTTATCAGGTGATAGCAAGTGTGTTGAGGAACTTGTCGTGGCGTGCTGATGTCAACAGTAAGAAGACGCTGCGTGAGGTCGGCAGCGTGCGAGCACTGATGGGCTGCGCTCTCGAGGTCCAGAAGGTAAATAAAACATTGTATTTGTTTATTTTTGTTCTGTAATGAGATCTGTACTGAGCGTGCTCAAATCACTTCCTCTGTAGTTTTCACTTTGTGTTTTGTTCTTCTGCTCCTTCAGGAGTCAACTCTGAAGTCTGTACTGAGCGCACTCTGGAACCTGTCTGCTCACTGTACGGAGAACAAGGCAGATATCTGCGCTGTGGACGGCGCTCTGGCATTTCTGGTAGGAACGCTGACGCACCGGAGCCACACCAACACGCTCGCCATCATCGAGAGCGGCGGTGGCATCCTGCGCAACGTCTCCAGCCTCATCGCTACCAACGAGGCACACAGGTAAAAAATTTTAAACAAGTAAACAACTCCTAACTACAAGCACTGTATGGATTGCATCCTGACTCCCTGCGTGATGTCTTGCAGGCAGATCCTGCGTGAGCACGGCTGCCTGCCAACTCTGCTGCAGCACCTGAAGTCTCACAGTCTGACCATCGTGTCCAATGCCTGCGGCACACTCTGGAATCTGTCAGCCAGAGACGCCAAAGACCAGGAAGCATTATGGGAGCTGGGCGCTGTGGGCATGCTGCGCAACCTCATCCACTCCCGACACAAGATGATCGCCATGGGGAGTGCCGCTGCTCTGCGCAACCTGATGGCCAACCGGCCAGCGCGCTACAAGGACGCCAGCGTGGTGTCGCCAGGTGCCGGTGCACCATCACTGCACGCCCGCAAACAGAAGGCGTTATTTGAGGAGCTGGATGCCCAACAGCTATCAGAAACTTTTGACAACATCGACAACCTGAGCCCCAAGGCAGCACACAGGAAGGGGCGGGGCTGTAACAGCGCCGGAGGAGGTGGGAACACAACACGCTCATACGCCAATACGCCGGTGCTTTCGAGCCCAAAGAATGGAGATGGATCAAAGAGGACGAGTGAGGAAGTGGCGTATGCTCGGCCGGTGTTCCCGCCAAGTGTCAGAGCGTCCAGCGATAGCCTCAACAGTGTGACGAGTGCTGACGGCTACGGCAACCGCGGCAAGACCAAACCGTCATCAGAACCATTCTACTCGTCAGACGAGAGCGGAGCCAACAAGTGCTGTGTGTACAGGAAGTACCCGGCCGACTTGGCACACAAGATCCGCAGCGCCAACCACATGGCGGACGATGACGGGGCTGAGCTGGACACACCCATTAACTACAGCCTGAAGTACTCCGACGAACAGTTGAATTCTGGGAGACAGAGTCCAAGTCACCGTGGTGGCATCGAGAGTGACGAGGACGATGAACAGGACGCCAGGCTAAGGAGGCGGAATGACGGCGACTCAGCAACAACCAGCAGCCGCATAGCATCTGTCCCGCCGCCACGCTATGCCACAGCAGCATCAAACTACGGCGGTGACTCAACAGCTGAGCAGCCAATAGACTACAGCCTGAAGTATGGCACTGACACCGCCCGCAAACCGCTGTTCAAGCCAGAAGAGACCGCTGCCCCTTCAGTCCCCCCTCCGCAGTCATCCTCAGGCAACAAGCTCCGCCCCCCTCCGCCCCCAGCCAATCGGGCAGGGCCAAAAGGCAACCAGGAGTCGACGCAGACATACTGCGTGGAGGACACGCCCATTTGCTTCTCCAGAGGCAGCTCGCTCTCCTCACTATCATCAGAGGAGGAGGAGGAGGAGGAGGAGGAGGACAGTGATGTCATTGGGAGGAGGAGAGGCGGGAGCGTTGTCTGCGGCGGCGGGAGTAACGACTACCCGACACTTCCTGTCAGCGAGAAAGATGCGCATGAGCAGCAGCAGAGGCAGCAGAAGGAGGCAGAGAGCCAGACTGCTGCCGCTGCCGCAGCCGCCGCCGCCGCCGCCTCTGCTCCCTCCACACGGGGAAGACGAGGCCACCACCATCATCACGGTCACGCCCATCACCACCATCACCACCACCACGTGACGTCGTCTTCGGGCGCCAGGACTCCAAAGAGTCCTCCGGAGCAGCCTTATGCTCAGGAGACGCCGCTGATGTTCAGCCGTTGCACGTCGGTCAGTTCACTCGACAGTTTCTCCACCTCGTCCATCGCCAGCTCTGTGCGCTCCAGTGAGCCTTGCAGCGGCGTGCCCAGTGGTGTGGTCAGCCCCAGTGACCTGCCCGACAGCCCCGGACAGACCATGCCGCCAAGCCGCGCCAAGACGCCGCCACCAACTCAAAACACAAAGGAGCAGGAAAAGGCCAAGAAGAAAGACGAGGAGGAGAGCAGTGCAGACGTCCTGCTGCACTTCGCTACAGAGAGCACGCCACACGGCTTCTCCCGAGCCTCGAGTCTGAGCGCGCTCAGTCTGGATGAGCCATACATCGCAGCTGAGATGACGAAGAAGAAAGAGGAGGAGGACAGGGGAAACAAGGAGAGGGAGGAGGAGGTGGCAAAACCAATCCTTGATGAATCAGACGATGATGATGACATTGAGATCCTGGAGGCCTGCATCAACATGGCCATGCCCAAGTCGTCACGGAAACCAAAGAAACCGCAGCAAGCTGCGCCACGGAAACCCAGCCAGCTTCCGGTTTACAAGCTCCTCCCAACTCAAAGCCGTGCACAGTCCCAGCCGAGGAAAGATGTACCTCTGCCACCATCGGAAGAGGTACCGAGAGTTTACTGTGTTGAGGGGACGCCGCTCAACTTCTCCACCACCACCTCGCTCAGTGACCTCACCATCGACTCCCCACCCAATGAGGAGGCAGCAGCAGCCGTCATACCTGTAGCCCCTCCCACCTCTGCTCAAAGGAGGGAGGCTGGACTTCCTGAGGGCGAGAATGGCGAGGACATCCTCGCTGAGTGTATCAACGCCGCCATGCCCAAAGCCAAACCCAGAAAACCAATCAGAGCTGCAGCGAACAGTGAGCACCTCCAAGCTCCCCCCCTCCCCCCGCCTCTTCCTCCTCCAGCCCCGCCTCCTCTGGGCCCACAGCAGCAGCAGCAGAAGAAGAAGCCAACGTCGCCAGTGAAGCCGATGCCCCAGCGGGCGGCGTACAGTGTCGCCACGGCAATAGCTGCCAAAGCAAAACCAGGGTTTGCCTTTGACTCACCATGCCACTACACGCCCATCGAAGGTACGCCGTGCTGCTTCTCACGCAATGACTCGCTGAGCTCACTCGACTTCGACGAAGACGAGGGTGGCGAGAAGGACGAAGAAGAGAAGAAAACAAAAGAAGAAGAAGGAAGGAAGAGGAAGCAGCAGACGGCAGCGGTTTTTCCTCGAACGAAACCTGCGACCAACCCGCCGGCAGCGGACGAGAAGCAGAAGTTCGCCATTGAGGACACGCCCGTCTGCTTCTCCAGAAACTCGTCCCTGAGCTCTCTGAGTGACATCGACCAGGAGAACAACAACAAGGAGTTCGCACCGCCGCCGCCACCGCCGGAGCAGCAAGATGGAATCAAAGCAGGAAAAAAGTCACCTCCTCCTCCACAGTTGGAGTCAAAGCCCCGCCCACCTGCGGCCAGTGGCTACGCCCCCAAAGCGTTCCACGTGGAGGACACGCCCGTCTGCTTCTCCAGGAACTCGTCGCTCAGCTCACTGAGCATCGACTCGGAGGACGACCTGCTGCAGGAGTGCATCAGCTCTGCCATGCCCAAGAAGAAGAAGAAAGCCACCACTGTCACTGTCCCTGCTGCTGTTGCAACGCCACTTCCACTTCCCAAAACCAACAACGGCATTCTGGCTGAGGAGGAGCCTTCAGAGGCACCAAGAAGCCCTGCCTCCCCTGACTCTGAATCCTTCGATTGGAAGGCAATCCAGGAAGGTGCAAACTCCATCGTCAGCAGTCTGAATGCCGCCGCCGCCGCCGCCACCTCACTGTCCCGCCAGCCATCATCAGACTCTGACTCAGTCTTGTCCCTGAAGTCTGTGGGCTCGCCATTCCGCCTGGCAGCAGCTAATAACAACGCAGAAGAAGAGGCGGAGGAAAAGAAGGAAGCAGCGGCGAAGCGAGGGGCAAGGATCCTCAAGGGTGGAGAGCGCACCACGCTGGATGCCAAGAAGAAGAAGGAGCAGGAAGAAGAAGAGGAGGAGGCAGCAAAGGCGTTGAGAGGTGGGAAGAAGGTGTATAGGAGTCTGATTACAGGTAAACCGAGGGCGGAGCCCGCAGCCAGGGGGCGGAGCAAACCCAGAGCAGCAGCTGTGGCCAAAGCTCCAGGAAGTAGCGATAGTGCTGACAGAGGAGGCGGGTCCTCTCGGGACTCCACGCCATCTCGCTCGTCCTCTGCAACCAATCAGAAAGGAGGGAAGCTGTCGCAGCTGCCGCGCACAGCATCTCCAGGAAGTGCATCATCATCATCATCATCGGCCTCCAGACCGGTCAAACAGAGCACAGCGGCGAGGAGCAGCGGTGGCATCCCAAGGAGCGAGTCAGCATCGAGGGTCAGCAGCTCCATGGCGGCCAAGAAGCAGAGGGCGGAGCCAGAGAAGCCGACACTCGTCCGTCAGTCGACCTTCATTAAAGATGCTCCCAGCCCGACACTGAAGAGGAAGCTGGAGGAGTCTGCGGCGGCGGCAGCAGCATTAGAGTCTCCGACTAGCCCTGACACACAACTACCATCAACAACTAGGCGACATGATGTCAATCGCTCCCACTCTGAGAGCCCGTCACGCCCACAGGAAGTTACATCTTCGCGGTTTAGCCGCACCGGCACCTGGAAGCGGGAAAACAGCGGCGGGGGAGGAGGGAACGGTGGTAAACACTCAACATCGTTACCACGTGTTGGGACATGGAAGAGGACAGGAAGCTCGTCATCGGTTCTGTCGGCATCATCGGAGTCTAGCGAGAAGGGGCGGAGCGAGGAGGAGAGCGCCATGAGGTCCAAGGGAACATGGAGGAAGGCAAAGAGCGGCGGTGACTCATCTGCCGGGCGGAGCTTCACCGACAAATCAGAAGACGTGTGGGTTCGTCTGGAGGACTGTCCTGTCAACAACCCACGCTCGTCCTCTTCCTGTTCAGCCCGCTCTCCCACCGCTGCCAACGCCCCGCCCGTCATCGACAGCCCCGCCCTCTCAAAGATCCCCTCATCCTCCTCATCCTCCTCCTCCAACCTCAACCTGCGCCGGAGCTGCGAGAGCCTGGATGACAAGCCGCCGCCGCCACCATCTGAACGCCAGCAGCAGCAGCAACAGCGCAGTCAGCAGCGCAGTGGCGCCGTGGCGGCTCGAGTCAGCCCCTTCAACTACACCCCGAGTCCAAGAAAGAGCAACACTGATGTCACCACCACCGCCACACCAACCACCACCACATCATCATCTACAACCCCCACACGACCTTCACTCATCCCCACCCCCGTCACCAAGAAACGGGAGCCGAAGGGCGGAGAAGGTGGTGGCGGCGGCGGCGGTGGCGGCGGTGGTGGTGGCGGCGGCAGTGGCGGCGAACGTGGCTCCTACATTGTGACGTCAGTGTGAAAAAAATCTGGAAATGGTTGGACACAAAATGGCCGCCACTGTTGGGACAGTTAACAGGAAGCAGGAAGTGTAAATATGGAAAGTGTTTGTGAACTGTACAGGAAGTGAGTTCGTATTTAAGTGCTAGCCCCGCCCCTTCACCTCTTTCCTCCCTCCTCATTGGCTCCCCTCAGCTGTCAGTCAAGCTCCTTTATTGGACAAGAGAAAACTTTAAAAATGAACTTTTTATGTTTTTATACCACTAAAATTATGTGTAGCGCTTAGCTCCGCCCCTTCTGCCTATCCCCCTGCATGTCCCGCCCCCTACCTTAACAATGACAATTACCATGGTGACATAACGATGATGATGATGATATTTGTAGCGTCTGAGCTGATTCTGCTCTTTTGGAAGTTTTCATGTTATTTTGAGTTTGGTTCTGAAACATTTTCAGTCGACATAATAAATGTATTTTCTCCTTTTAGAGTCTGAAACAATGAAAATATAAAATTTTAGCAATTATAATCAATTTTTTTCCCCCAATTATGAGGATTTTCTCACAAGAGTCCAAATAATCCAAACGTGTGTTTATTTGTTGAATTCATCGTTTTCATCTGGAACATTTATTTTTAGATTTTTCCAGTTTGGGACTTTTTTGATCACAGACTTTCAAATTAAGAGCTGGATGTTTCAGAACCTCTCTCACAATCTGCATTTACTCCAGAGAGGGAAGTTTGCTGCCAACTGTTTCATTTGAGTCCGTTCTTGAATTCCTGGTGAACTCTGAGGGTTTTAGTTGGCTGAAAACTTCCCGCTCTGTCGCCTTGGAAACAAATAACACTGTAAAACGTAAGTTATTGCTGTAAAACCTTAAAACCTTTTAACTTTAAGCACATAATTTAAAACAAAACTGATTTTTGCCAAAAATGTTTCCACAGTGTTGATTAATGGCTGTAAGTTGATTTTCACTGTTTTTATGTTGAAGCTGGAGGAAAACGACGGAAAGGTAAAAGTTTTGGTGAAATATTAAACAGATGATAAACAATAAAATTCAACATTTTAGGTGCAAACTTGCGGTTTATTTGTGTGCTTGGATGAAATTGTACAGTTTGTGTTGATGCGGTATGGAGGCCCTGAAAGGACATGAGCTAGAACCCATTCAGGGCCTCCGTAGTGTGACGTTCTGGTCTATCCACCGTTTAAAGTTGTAATAACAGTCAAATATTCTGAGAAAAACTGAACACAACATTTGTTCTTCAAGCAGTCTTTGAATAATATATAATAATAATAATTAAAGCTGCAAGCAGCGTTGGGCGGGACCTCTCACTCCACGCAACTCGTGGTTTGCTGCGGCCACGTCACGTGCCGTCGTAACACGTGCGGACCGCAACATGAAATTTTCACGTCACCCCACTCACAAGCTCTCATCGCCTGAAGCTGAGGGAGACCACTCTACGTTGCCACACAATTCAGACACTGCAAATGACTTGCGCTTTCAGAGAGGCTCTTCGCTGTGAAAGGTGGAAATGCAGCGCCATGCCACGGACACACAGTTTGACACACAGTAAATATTTGATTAACTTATGATCACCAATGTGTCTAGACTGCAGTGATCAAGTGTCCTAGGATTCTGCCTTTTAACAGGCAGTTTTTCCTTGCCCTTGTCGCCAAGTGCTTGCTCATGGTGGTACTGTTGGGTCTCTGTAAATAATGTTTTAAAGAGTTCGGTCTAGACCTACTCTATTTGAAAAGTGTCCTGAGATAACTTCTGTTATGAATTGGCGCTATACAAATAAAATTGAATTGAAAAGAGTACTGTCCAGTTTTGAAGCAGATCCGATAAATTCCCTAGGAGTGTGTTCGTTCAAATACAAGACCACGGTATTCAAAACGGCCAACTTTGAGGACACACCACGGACACACCCTTTTACGTACAGTCACAAAATGAACAGCGTTCATTCAGCAACATTTTTTGACTGTACTGACCAATTTTGAAGCAGATCCGATAAATTCCCTAGGAGGGATTTGTTCAACTACAAGGCGAAAATTCACCGAAAATGACCACGGACTTCAAAATGGCCAACTTTGACAGCACGCCATGGACACGCCCTTCAACGTACAGTCACAAATCGTACAACTATTAATCAGCAAGATTATTGACATGTACTGTCAAGTTTTGAAGCAGATCTGATAAATTCCCTAAGAGTTCGTTAGTTCAAATACAAGACCACAAACTTCAAAATGGCCAAATTTGACGACACGCCACGGACCCACCCTTCAACATACAGTCACAAATTGAACAGCGTTCATTCAGCACCCTTTTTTGACTGTACTGACCAATTTTGAAGGAGATCCAATAAATTCCCTAGGAGGAGTTCGTTCAAATACATGCCCAAAAAGTCAAAATGACCACAAAATGGTGAAAATTTAAATAAAAATAGCAGACTTCCTGTGGGTTTTGGGACATGGGTCCAAGAGGCTTTTTTGTATGTCTCGGCATGTTACACAGTTTCATACATATCGGTGAAACGTGGCGTCGGAGCTGCTTTTTTAAAATCCTGTAGGGGGCGCTACAAACACGACAGACATGATTTTTGGTATGTGAGCTTCAGGCACCAGTCTACACGTGTCCTGTGAATTTCATATTCATAACTATTACGGTGTCTGCATAGTGATTTACCCTGCCACCAGAGCACCACCTAGTGGCGTGATTTTTTCCTTTTATGTCCCCAGATGCTACGTGCAAAATTTCGTGCGAATCGGACCAGAAGCACATGGATGGAGCACAAACACATAGTTTTTGGACATTTCAGGCTCTAGCGGAAAAAAAAATCTAGGCGGAAGTGGGCGTGGCCTATAAAGGGAGGTTCAGCTCCATTCACTGAACGCGTGGACTCGTTTTTGAATGTGAGACAAAGTATGCAGGAGTTATTAGCCTAAATGCATTTTGTATGATAGTAGCACACCTAGTGGCCGACCTGAATGTGACGCATAGAATATCCGATTTTACACCATGCCAGACAACTTTGCTATTATTAGATAGTTAATCCTTAGTTAGATATTAAGGATTAAATGTATGCAGAATTAAGGGTGTGGCCGCTTTGAGTGACAGGTGGGTGCCGTTACACTTTTCAGTAACCAGACTTCATTCAGCTCCGCCTCTTTGACCATATATGGATCAGCCAGAAGTCGGCGGAGTTAAGACTGCCAAGATGGCGACGCCCAGAGCCGATCACACTGACAGTTATTGATAAAGTAATTGATATGCACTTAATTCAATTCAGTTCAGTTTTATTTGTATAGCACCAATTCATAACAGAAGTTATCTCAGGACACTTTTCAAATAGAGCAGGTCTAGACCGAACTCCATATAACATTATTTTATAGACCACAAGTAGCTCTGCACTTGAGCGCAGTGTCCTCATGGGGTAATAGGGTACTATGAGCTCTTATACACATACAGTTATTGATAAACATATATAGGAAATAATTTGCAGGTCATCTTTTGAATTTGTGTCTGGTTGACTAAACAACAGCAACAAGATACTGCTGATAATCTGGTCCATACAGATGGCTGCATTTGAGCATCATCGATGGAAACAGAGTCCGCCTCCTCTCATCCGGCACTCCGTCTGCTCTTTTTCAGTGCAGTGGTTTTACAGTGCACTGGTTATAGTACAGTGGTTTTACAGTGCAGTAGTTTTACAGTGCAGTGGTTATAGTACAGTGGTTTTACAGTGCAGTGGTTTTACAGTGCAGTAGTTTTACAGTGCAGTGGTTATAGTACAGTGGTTTTACAGTGCAGTAGTTTTACAGTGCACTGGTTATAGTACAGTGGTTTTACAGTGCAGTAGTTTTACAGTGCAGTGGTTATGGTACAGTGGTTTTACAGTGCAGTGGTTATAGTACAGTGGTTTTACAGTGCAGTAGTTTTACAGTGCAGTGGTTATAGTACAGTGGTTTTACAGTGCAGTGGTTTTACAGTGCAGTGGTTATAGTACAGTGGTTTTACAGTGCAGTAGTTTTACAGTGCACTGGTTATAGTACAGTGGTTTTACAGTGCACTGGTTATAGTACAGTGGTTTTACAGTGCAGTGGTTTTACAGTGCAGTAGTTTTACAGTGCACTGGTTATAGTACAGTGGTTTTACAGTGCAGTAGTTTTACAGTGCAGTGGTTATAGTACAGTGGTTTTACAGTGCAGTGGTTTTACAGTGCAGTAGTTTTACAGTGCACTGGTTATAGTACAGTGGTTTTACAGTGCAGTAGTTTTATAGTACAGTGGTTTTACAGTGCAGTGGTTTTACAGTGCAGTAGTTTTACAGTGCAGTGGTTATAGTACAGTGGTTTTACAGTGCAGTAGTTTTACAGTGCAGTGGTTATAGTACAGTGGTTTTACAGTGCAGTGGTTTTACTGTGCAGTAGTTTTACAGTGCAGTGGTTATAGTACAGTGGTTTTACAGTGCAGTAGTTTTACAGTGCAGTGGTTATAGTACAGTGGTTTTACAGTGCAGTGGTTTTACAGTCAGTAGTTTTACAGTGCAGTGGTTATAGTACAGTGGTTTTACAGTGCAGTAGTTTTACAGTGCACTGGTTATAGTACAGTGGTTTTACAGTGCAGTGGTTATAGTACAGTGGTTTTACAGTGCAGTAGTTTTACAGTGCAGTGGTTATAGTACAGTGGTTTTACAGTGCAGTGGTTTTACAGTGCAGTGGTTATAGTACAGTGGTTTTACAGTGCAGTAGTTTTACAGTGCAGTGGTTATAGTACAGTGGTTTTACAGTGCAGTAGTTTTACAGTGCAGTGGTTATAGTACAGTGGTTTTACAGTGCAGTAGTTTTACAGTGCACTGATGTGGTTGCATGGTTATAGTACAGTGGTTTAACAGTGCAGTGGTTTTACAGTGCAGTAGTTTTACAGTGCAGTGGTTATAGTACAGTGGTTTTACAGTGCAGTAGTTTTACAGTGCAGTGGTTATAGTACAGTGGTTTTACAGTGCAGTAGTTTTACAGTGCAGTGGTTATAGTACAGTGGTTTTACAGTGCAGTGGTTTTACAGTGCAGTAGTTTTACAGTGCAGTGGTTATAGTACAGTGGTTTTACAGTGCAGTAGTTTTACAGTGCAGTGGTTATAGTACAGTGGTTTTACAGTGCAGTGGTTTTACAGTGCAGTGACCTATATCTCTAATGAAATGGAGTAAAAGGGGAGAGTGGGCGAGTGATATAAATAATGAATGAAAGAGAGAGAGGTGAGGCTGATTCTGTTGACTTTAAATCATTTCAAAATATTTTACAATTTTAATAATGATTATTATTACTATTATTATTATTATTATAGTTTTCTCTGTCAGTTTTCTCGTCAGACTCTTATTTTGACAATAAAGGAAGTGGGGCTGTGATGTGTATGACTTCACTTCCTGTCAGTGCACTGTCCTCGCTCTCTCTCTCTTTCTCTCTTTCTCTCAAGTGATGGACACACAAAAGGTAAGAATTTGATCGATTAATGATCAATACCAACATCTGATCTGTCAGTGAGACAGCTTGATAATACACGGAGGAGAGAGAGGGAGAGGGGGGAGGGAGAGGGAGGATTAGCTAGCTGTTAGCATCCAAAGTCCCTCGCTCTCTCTGTCATTCATGCTCTATATCTCTCTACTGCTCCCCTCTCTCTCTCTCTCTCTCTCTCTCTCTCTCTCTCTCTCTCTCTCTCTGGTCGAGTCAGCTTCACTTTGAATGAAGGATTTAGAGATAAGACTCTGTCTCTGGTCGTGTCAGTATCAGTTTTTATCTCTGAAACTTTATTCAAAAAAAATTTTCAGGTGTTTTTTTTTCATCAGGTAACTTGACCTCCATTATTCTCTATGTAACTCTATCTCTTTCTCTCTCTCTCTCTCTCTCTCTCTCTCTCTGTCTGCGTCTTGCTGCAATAATTTGACTTTTGGGCATTTCTCCCAGTAAATAGGGGAGTTTCTGTGTGTCTGATAATAATTCGAATTCGGGGTATATTTGGGAAATGTTTGCGAATTGTTTTTCTCTTAAAGTTTTGAATTTAGGGCATGAGGTTAGAAAGTGCAGCTCTGTCTCTACCTGTCCTCTGTCACACTGGGAGCAGAGTCTTTCCTCTTCTGGTAGCCAGTTCTGTCTGTGGCGACCCGTTTCTATGGCCAGGCTGTGTTCACTCAGTCTGTACATTGTCAACATTGTTCTTAATTTAGGACATTTTATTGTGCTCAGGTAATTTGCCAGTTTGAATTCTCTTTTTAGGGTCAGATAACATTGTAATTTACTTTGTGTTTTGGTCGTTTCTTTCCAGTGTTCAATATATTTTCTTTTTGCTTGTTGATAATTTGGTTTGGTCTGATTGAGTTGGTGTTGCTGTCCTGAGGCTGTTGGGGACATGTTACTGCAGAGAGCCTCAGGACCAGCTGGCTGAGGGGACTCTTCTCTGGTTTCAGCTCCTGGTATGTTGGGGCTTTGTGATGGTATGTCTGGGGGTCAACTGATTTAAGTGATTGTAAAATTGAATTGATCTTTTCTGTATTTTTAGTAGGAGGGGGTATTGGCCGAGTTCTGCTCTGCACAGATTATTTGGTGTTTTTCTCTGCACCTGCAGGATGCTCTTACAGAACTCGCTGTGGAAAGATTCTATGATTGTTTTGTCCCATTTGTCAAATTCATTATTTAGTTTTGGTCCCCAAATTTCGCTGCCATACAGAGTTATTGGTTCTAGTACAATTTGGAAAATGTTAAACCAGATTTGGATTGGAATATAGATTTTAATGTTTCTCTTTATTGCATAGAAAGCTCTCCTTGCTTTGTCCCTCAGATCTTTCACAGCCATGTTGAGGTTTCCTGTGTATGTAATGTTGAGGCTGAGGTAAGTGTAGTTTTTTGTATGTTGTAACTTAGTGGTGTCTAAATAGAAATTGTGTGTAACCTGATATCTGTATTGTTTCTGAAAGATCATTATCTTAGTCTTTGCTGTGTTTACTGTCAGGGCCCAGGTCTGACAAAATCTCTGCAGGAGATTAAGGTGCTGCTGCAAACCTTCTTTAGTAGGTGAAAGCAACACTAAGTCATCTGCATATAGCAGACCTCTGATCTCTCTGTTGTTCAGGGTGAGGCCAGGTGCCGTGGAACGCTCTAGAGAGAGAGCTCTAAAGAGAATTGGACTGAGATTGCATCCCTGCCTGACTCCCCAGCCCTGGGAGAAGAACGCTGTTTGTTTGTTTCCAATCTTTACGGCACATTCACTTTTTGTATACATGTTCTTAATCAGATCATATGTTTTTCCTCCAATGCCACTTTCAAGTAGCCTATAGAAAAGGCCCTCGTGCCAGATGGAATCAAAGGCTTTTTTGAAGTCAATGAAACATGCATATACCTTTCTTTTCTTAATTTTTAATTCTTGATCAATTAAAGTCTGGAGGGTAAATATATGATCCGTTGTGCGGCAATTTGGCAAGAAACCAATTTGGCATTTATGCAGAATATTGTGGTCATCAAGAAAGTTGACAAGTCGTTTATTAATGATGTTGCAGAATATTTTTCCCAGGTTACTGGAGACACATATTCCTCATATTTATTTCCGGATTTATGAATTGGGGTTATTAAACCTTTGTTCCAGATGTCTGGAAAAGCTCCAGTTGACAGAATAGTATTAAATAGTTTTAGTATAGCCAATCTGATTTTATGGTCTGAGTATTTGATCATTTCGTTGAGGATTCCATCAGTGCCACAAGCCTTTTTTCCTTTCAGGGACTGGATGACTTCTGTTAATTCTTGTTCTGTTACTCTCTGTGTGTCTCTCTCTCTCTCTCTCTCTCTCTCTCTATCTATCTATCTATCTATCTTATTATTCAACATAAATCATTCAACTGTAACTGAATACTCTAACTGAATACTGTGTTGAACAGGAAGCTCTGCGCCGGATCATCAGCACATTGGCCAATAAGAACGAAGAGCTCCAAAACTTCCTGGAAACAGTCGACAACACACTGACAGGACTGCAGGTCAGCAGCTGATTGGCTTAGAGGAAGCAGATGAAGGGGTTTAGAGAGGTGGGAGGGAATAACTTAAATTAAAAAAACACACTAAACTTGATCTGTCCAATCAGAAGGAGTCATGTAAGGTGACGTCAGCGCTGGAAGCGGAGCTTGAACTTCTGAGCTCCGCCCTGGAGGAGAAGGGGGCGGAGCTTCGTGGCATCATTAAAGAGGAAAAGTTGAGGAAAGAGGCGGAGCTTCAGGTAACCTTTTCCTCCATTTTTATTTATATTCATATCAAATGTTTATATTTATGTCAGATTTTATATCTGTATGTATATATTTCATATTTACACATGTATATATTTTCTGATAAACTCACAGGACCGTTACATTCTCTGAGGGTTGTTGATTGATTGTTGTTCCTCAGAAGCAGCTGTCGGACGGGAAGGTCGCTCTGCTGTCGTGTGAAGACCTGCTCAAGTTCGCAAATCAAACACTGACGATCACCAACGAAGAAGAATTCCTGACGGTAGAAAAAACATCACAATGTGTCATAAAACTGTAAACAAACGACACTCAGGGGTTCATTATTGGAAATTACTTTATTAATTCATATTTCAATCTTTTACAGGCTGCCAAACAAATCAAAGAAGGGTACGTTAAAATATGATCTTCATGTTTTAATGATGTTTGTGTTCATTTATCCTGTTTGTCGTCACATTGTAATTATTATTGTTTTTTTACCTTTCTGATTATTTTTTGTTGATTTCAAATATTAACACAGTTTAAACCAATAAATGAAAGTTTAGCGTTATAAACCAATCACAGCTCTGATTTGATGATTGGCATGTAAACCCCACCCCTCTAACAACCCATAACCCGCCCCCTTTGCACACATAACCCCCGCCCGACTGGCTCCCGCCCCTCCCGTTACCAGGGTAACCATGGCTCCAGCGTTTCGGCTGACGACTCGTCCAGCGGCATCAGACAACATGTCGCACTTTACAGTCGACTTTAGCACGCAGAGGGCGGGGCTTCAACGACTTAACTTCCTGCCAGGTTAGTCACACGTGGTCCGTTATCTTGAAGTGATGGACATTATTCCTGAGTGTTGATCAGGTGAAGTCGTAGCAACGCATCACAGTGTAACTAGTTTCCATGACAACAGAGCAACTTGCTGTAGATGAAGACTGTAGAAAGCTCCAGAAGCAGCCAGTAAGAGGACCTTTATTTGAGGTATGTTTACAGTTCCCAGGGCTCCAGAGATCGACGTCTCCAGCTGCGTGGTCCGGGACAACGCCATCATGGTATCCTGGCGACCAGCTACTGAGGTTGACAGCGAGGATGACATCAGTGTCAGTGGACCAATTGAACGCTACGAACTCGAATACCGAAAAACAAACTGCGACAGCTCGCTGAGAGCCGCAGGAGGGGCATGCTGGGAAAAAATTAACGACATCAGAGAGACACACTTCTCTGTCTCAGGTAAGAGATCGGAGGTCGTCGCCTCAGCTGTACTGTGTGGTCAGTTAGCTAACATGAGTATTTATTGATTTATTGATTATTTGTAATATTTTAGGTCTGAAATTTGACTCTCGCTTCATCGTTGTTCGCGTTCGAGCGAGAAACAAGGCGGCTGCCGGCGAGTTCTCAGAGCCCGTCGCCATGGAAACCAGAGGTGAAGACAGGAATGAGTGAATTAATGGGGGGGGGGTGACAACAACAACAAAAGTAACAACAATACAAGTAGAAATGACTAATAATAACAATAATAATAATGCGTTTATGCTGTGTGACACTAAGACCTCATTAAAATAGACATGAAGAACACTGTTGGATCAGACTGTAGGTGTCTGTTACAGTGTGTAACAGTAGTTTTACAGTCTGTTACAGTAGTTTTAAAGCTTGTTACTGTGTGTTACAATAGTTTTACAGCATGTTACTGTGTGTTACAGTAGTTTTACAGTGTTACAGTAGTTTTAAAGCTTGTTACTGTGTGTTACAGTAGTTTTACAGTGTAACAGTAGTTTTAAAGCTTGTTACTGTGTGTTACAGTAGTTTTACAGTGTTACAGTAGTTTTAAAGCTTGTTACTGTGTGTTACAGTAGTTTTACAGTGTTACAGTAGTTTTACAGCGTGTTACAGTGTGTTACAATAGTTTTACAGCGTGTTACAGTGTGTTACAGTAGTTTTACAGTGTGTTACTGTAGTTTTACAGCATGTTACAGTAGTTTTAAAGCTTGTTACTGTGTGTTACAGTAGTTTTACAGTGTTACAGTAGTTTTAAAGCTTGTTACTGTGTGTTACAGTAGTTTTACAGTGTTACAGTAGTTTTACAGCGTGTTACAGTGTGTTACAGTAGTTTTACAGTGTTACTGTAGTTTTACAGCATGTTACAGTAGTTTTACAGTGTGTTACTGTAGTTTTACAGTGTGTTACTGTAGTTTTATAGTGTGTTACAGTAGTTTTACAGCATGTCACAGTAGTTTTACAGCGTGTTACAGTGTGTTACTGTAGTTTTACAGCATGTTACAGTAGTTTTACAGTGTGTTACAGTAGTTTTACAGCGTGTCACAGTAGTTTTACAGCGTGTTACAGTGTGTTACTGTAGTTTTACAGCATGTTACAGTAGTTTTACAGTGTGTTACTGTAGTTTTACAGTGTGTTACTGTAGTTTTATAGTGTGTTACAGTAGTTTTACAGCATGTCACAGTAGTTTTACAGCGTGTTACAGTGTGTTACTGTAGTTTTACAGCATGTTACAGTAGTTTTACAGTGTGTTACAGTAGTTTTACAGCGTGTCACAGTAGTTTTACAGCGTGTTACAGTGTGTTACTGTAGTTTTACAGCATGTTACAGTAGTTTTACAGTGTGTTACAGTAGTTTTACAGCATGTCACAGTAGTTTTACAGCGTGTTACAGTGTGTTACTGTAGTTTTACAGCATGTTACAGTAGTTTTACAGTGTGTTACAGTAGTTTTACAGCGTGTCACAGTAGTTTTACAGCGTGTTACAGTGTGTTACTGTAGTTTTACAGCATGTTACAGTAGTTTTACAGTGTGTTACAGTAGTTTTACGGTGTATTACTGTAGTTTTACAGTGCACATCCTGTTTTGTTGCAGCGTATAACTTTGGGTTTGATGCGGCGACGGCTCACCCTGAACTCAAGGTTCAGAGTGACACTGTGACCTGGGAGCCGCAGGGGGTCAAGGGTCATGACCCCCGACTGAAAGGAAAGGAGAATAAGAGCAGGTGAGGAGCTTTTGATTGTATCACATGATCTTCCTCAGCAAACACTGATTCAGTTTTATTTGTATAAATGATCTTAAGACACATAAATATATATAAAATAATACATATATTAACATATTTCATTCTTTAATGTAAAACTGTATAAATAAATATATTGCTGTTATTGTAATTGATTATGTATCAATATGACAACTGATCTCAGAACAGCATCATTCCAACACTATAAAGAGGTCAAAGGTCGACACCTAGAGAGTGATCAATAACCAATCAATCATTACTGTGATGGTCACAGAGCTTCAGTTCAGACTGCAGGATCCACGAAGAGCTGCTATTGATCTATTGATCTATTGATCTATTAATTGATCATATTTATTTTATTTTATTTAATTTTCGGTTTGTTTTCATCTTCAGTTGTTTGACCTTTTTGTCCCTCTGCAGTCTCCGTACTCTTCAACACGCTCAGGTAGAATCTGTCATTGCTGACCGGTTGCCTAGCAACCACTGTGTCACTAATCACTTTCTTCATCCATCACTGCTGACATCACTGCTGACATCACATCTTTACAGTTCAATAAAATCTTCATGTTTGTGTGTAATTTGTTGTTAATTGATGTTTTCATTTCTTTAATTAAAATCTAATTATCACAAACATTTGACTGACTTTATATAAAGTTCAGTGTTTGTATTTATTTAAGATTTATTAATTATTAATTTAAATTCTCTTTACCATAATATTACAGTTAGATACTTATCTGTTCTCGCTAATGTTGTCATTGCTAACGCTGCTGTTAGCGCTAACACTGCTAACACTTCTAACATTGCTAACAGCGACAGATGATTTCTGTCCCTTTATGTTTCTGTGTTGTCGCTGGCTCCAAACCTGTTGTTGGTTCTGGATGTTAAATCCTGTTACCTTAACGACCCAATAGATCAGGAAATGCTTTAAATAATATTTATAATTTATTATTATTTTGTGTTGTTATTCTCATATTTTTCATCTTTCTCTTTGCTGCATCATCGCTTTGGCACGACCTCATTGGCTGTTTCACCTCACTGTTGTTCCACTGTGGGCGGGGTCACACACTCACGAATGTGCACCAAAGAAGAAAAGATGCAAATTCTGTCATGTTATTCTCTCCGAGATTAAACATACCTAACTGTTTCACCTCTGACTTGTTTTTTAACGTCTCATTTTACTAGCAGCAGAAGTGCCACACCGTCCCCCAATAAGACAGCAGGAAGTCGAGCAGGACGCGATCGATTCGCTGGAGAGTCGTACACAGTGCTGGGTACTTCCACTGTAGTTTGATCTGTTCTCTCAGGACACTTATCAAATAGACCACACTCTTTATAAAATGATTTACAGAGACCAGTTAGAGAGAGAGAGAGAGATAACAAATATAATAGTAGAAATATGACATAATAATGATAATAATTAATATATGATAGTACTTATGTTAATGAATGCTGTATTTGTACATTAATGTGAAATACTAATAAAATTAATGTACACATATTTTATATTTGTATTAGATATAATTTAATATAATAAAATAATAATTATTGATTATTCTAGTTGGTTTTTATTTGTAAAAAGTCCTATTGTTGACTTTTATTTTGACATTTATAACAGGAACACCCATTGTTTAATCTTAATGACTATTATTTTGAAAGTTGCAACAGGACAGGCTTTAAATATAAACATTTTAATTTAAGAGAAAAGTTCTTCAAACTTTTATATATTTTTTGTTCATGCTGGAAAAAAGGCACATTTCTTTTTTTTTTCTCTTCTCCCGTCTCCTAGGTGACCAGGAGATGAGTGGCGGGTGTCACTACTGGGAGCTCCGCCCCCTGGATGACTGGAAGTCATTCAGTGTGGGTGTGGCCTACCGGGCAAGTCTGGGCCGCTTTGACCAATTAGGGAAGAGCGCTGGTTCATGGTGTCTCCACGCCAGCCAATGGCTGCAAAGCTTGCTCGCCGCAAAGCACAATAACCGAGCGAAGGCATTGGATTGGCCGCTGCCGCAGCGGATTGGGATCTACTGCGACTACGACAACGGTACGAAACAATATGAATAAATGTTTTATTTAAAAATATGTCCTGTTTTTATTCGTCACTGAGTCTGTTTGTGTGTTAGGTGATTTATTGTTTATCGACGTCGAACACCTTCATCTTCTTCATGCCTTCAAAACGAAGTTCAACCAGTCGCTTGTCCCCGCCTTCACTGTGAGTACTGCAATAATACTACATATAGTACTACATCTACCTTCACTGTGAGTACTGCAATAATACTACATATAGTACTACAGATACCTTCACTGTGAGTACTGCAATAATACTACATATAGTACTACATCTACCTTCACTGTGAGTACTGCAATAATACTACATATAGTACTACATCTACCTTCACTGTGAGTACCAATAATACACATAAGTACACATCTACCTTCACTGTGAGTACTGCAATAATACTACATATAGTACTACATCTACCTTCACTGTGAGTACTGCAATAATACTACATATAGTACTACATCTACCTTCACTGTGAGTACTGCAATAATACTACATATAGTACTACAGATACCTTCACTGTGAGTACTGCAATAATACTACATATAGTACTACAGATACCTTCACTGTGAGTACTGCAATAATACTACATATAGTACTACATCTACCTTCACTGTGAGTACTGCAATAATACTACATATAGTACTACAGATACCTTCACTGTGAGTACTGCAATAATACTACATATAGTACTACAGATACTCGCACTACTGACCATATTAAAACTGCATTGCAGGTTTGGTGCGGTGGTATCAACATAACTACGGGCCTGCAGGTGCCGAGCTTTATGGGTAATCTCCTGTCGACCAGTCGGAGCCTCAGCAACCTGTCACAGTAGTTCGACCTCGTCTCTGTTTAATTGTATTATATTTGTATTAATTATCAATAATTTATTAATTTAATATATTTGAATTTATTCATGTCAATGTAAGATCATAAATAACACTTATAATGTGATATTATAATAATAATGAAATTATTTGTGAAATTGTTATCAATGATTATTTTAATTTAAAAACCATAAATACCTTTAAGAAAATATATTAACTTGATTTTTCTTGTCTGCTCTTATTTTGACAGTCTTGACCTGAAGCCATAGTTTTAGTGTGAGTGCTTGTGTGAAGTAGTGATATTGTCTAAGCTAAAGCTTTTATTTTGATTGAATTTGTATAAAAGGAAAACATTGTTTTTAAATAACATTTTATTTGAGTCTTTTATTTTGAAGGTTATAACCAGATGAAATTTATTTTGAAGTCTGTGAGGAAGTTCTGTTTAATTTGTGTGAAAGACCTTTATTATGAAATACCTTCTGGCTTTTATTTTGAAGGTTGGGACTGAACTTCCTGTCATTTGTGCCAGGAATCAGTAATAATGTTTGTATTTATTGATCCATCCTGTGTGTTAATGTCACATCTGACCTGGAATCATCATTCTGATCAACAATAAAAGTTAAGATTGCAAAATGTCTGCTTTTATTGTGAAGAAACTAGGATAATAATCCCTGTGCAGTCGCAAACAATGCTGTTGTGTTGCTGTGGTTGTAAGTAAAATGCAGAAATGGAGTAGCAGCCATATATGATTCAAGTGTTTTAATTGATCCTAGAGTAGGCTTAAGACATTCCTCTTTGATAAAGCTTATAGTTAGGGCTGGATCAGGTGAGTCCTGAACCATCCCTTAGTTATGCTGCTATAGGCCTAGGCTATCGGGGGATTTCCCATGGTGCACTGAGCTCCTCTCTTCCTCTCTCTTTCTGCACTCATTCATGTTCCATTAATGCATGTTACTAACTCCACTTCTTCCCCGGAGTTCTTTTGCTTTCTCGTCTTGCAGGTTCTCATGGATGCTGGTGGAGACTCAGTATTACTGATATTATTATTATTGTTATTTCCACCTAGAGTCTGGGTCTGTGCGAGGTTTCTGCCCCATAATAGGAAGTTTTTCTAACTTTGGATAAGAGCTGAACTGAAGTGTTTTTACTCTTTGAGAAAATAAAGAAATTCATAAACTGTTGTTTTATTGTTTGATGAGTAAAACACATTTAGAAAGAAATGTTCTTTTTCAGATCGTTTTTATTGGTCTGTCGTGTTCTTTATACATTGAAATGCATCCGTCTGATGATCCGTCGCTGTGACAACAGAAACTACAGTTCATTATAAAAACACTGTGAAGAGACCGATGATACACCTGTAGGAGAGGTGTTATACTAACAAAGTTTGATTGATTTTTGATTGATTGATAGCATTAAATATGGTGTCAAACACATGTGAAAATGTATATTCATACAGTACATCTGTAGGTACTCCTTCTCCTCCTCCTCCTTTTCTTCAGGTTACTCTTCCTCCTCTGTCCTCCTCTTCAGCGTCCCTCTGGCAGACCTCATACAGGCGGAAGGAGGTGAAGGCGGTGGCGAGCAGACAAGAAGCGCCGAGGATCAACCACCAGCTGAAGGAGGAGAAGGAGGCTCCCTGCAGAGAAAAGAAGGAGGAGGAGGAGGAGGTGGAAGAAATGATGTGATATAACTGCTGTTACCTGTTCAGGTGAATTCCCTCCACCACAGACACTACTGAGGTCCAGTGACTGTCAGCTGATTAAATGTATAATCTGTAGCATTTCCCCTTGAATCTGTGTATAAACACTATCTACTATCTCCAATAGTCGAACAGTTGACGCACTTTCCATTAGTCGGATATTAAAACACAAAAACAGCGTCTAACAGGAGCTGCTCCTCGTCCCTGGGACAAGGTATCAGAGGATTGTTGCAACACAGACCTTTTCTCTTGTAACACAGGAAGTCTCTGACCACTGCACTGCAGGCTTAATTTGTAATCAACACTGCTGAGTCACTTCCTTATGACAGTTTTTATTACACTTCTATGGCATATTTTGGTGGGGGGTTTTTTTATAGGTGAGATACTAATATACACTTCACTGTTACGGCTTTCTTTCACAAATAACTCAAAGTGGGCTTGATCTTGATCTGTTTATGGCTTGTTTATTACATATTTTCATAGTATATTGATGTGGCGTATTTCTTTTGCAGCAGCTGTCAGCTCAGTCTTTCTATGGGAAGAGGAGGCCTGCTGTGCCACAGATTGTTGTTGTGCCAGCCCACCTAGACATCACTGACTTTGATTTGCAGCATAAAACTGAAACTTTTTAAAAAAGTCAAAAAAGAAAAAATGTCTTCTTATATCCATCAATAACACTCCAGGGTTGAAATTTTCCATTTCAATGAGTTCCCTATAAAGGGTTAATATATATGTTTATAAAGCAGTGATCAAATAAATATATCCCTTCATCTATACATTAAAATACATTATAATAGTAGAAATAAAGGCTATTATGCTCAATGATGTTGTTGTGTAAATATGGTATTAAACCCCAATAATCATAATCGTACCCATTCATTACAACCACATTAATAATAATAATAGAGTCCAGTCATTTAGTTTGTTCAGTCACTCACTGATAAATCAATACTTCTGATCAGTAGGAATATCTGATTAGATGATGAGATCACTAGTTGGTTACCTTGGTGACGCAGTAGAGTCCAAAACAGACGAGAGCGATCAGAGACACAATGTGAACACACAGATGAGGACGAGAATCCTGAGACATGATTGGTCCTTTCAGAATGTCAGCAGCCAATCAGGACGCTCCTTTTTGTCGTTAAGGTTATTAAAATTTCATCCAAATGAAATATAATCTGAAATTAGAATATAAAAGAAGAGATAATAAAGGAATATATTTAATGCATCATCATAGAAAATGTAAATTCATGTTATATCAATCTAACCAGAAAAATAAAACTAATCAAATAAAGAATAAAAGTAAACAATAGTGTGTGTGTGTGTGTGTGTGTGTGTGTGTGTGAGAGAGAGAGAGAGAGGCAGACTTTATACCTGCAACTTTAATCCAACACTCTAAAAAATCTAATCCGAAACTATTAGTTAATTAACACAAACTGCAACACTGTAAAAGTCTGTTAAAAATACTTTATATTTAATAATGAAATGTGACTTCACAGAGACATTTTTAATGTTTGATATTGTCATCACTCACTAACATATTTAATGTAAAAATATTAATATGTTTAATGTTAATATGATTCATGTTTAACTATGTTCATTCCATCATATATGGTGTGTGTGTGTGTGTGTGTGTGTGATTTGTATAAAATAAATGCAACCATTTAACATGAAAATGATATATAAGTTATATAAGTTTAATTTGAATCAACTTAATGAATCAAAGATGTTTTTCTGTTTACGCTGCATTCAGTCTGGATTAGCATTTAGGGCTAATCCTCCATTCACTGTGATGACAGTGTGTGTCGGCTCATATTGCCCCCTTTGTGAGGACCAGCTTCAGTTTTAACCATCATTGTCAGAAAGGTTCAGACTATTCAATCAATAATCTATAGTCAATAAACAGTATATAAACTAGAGCTATGTGAACTGTTCATGTCTAATATTAATCTTTGATATTATGATAAAGACATTAACTTATCTAAGTTTTATTATGAATTAATTTAATAATCTTTTTATAATTTATATATTATAATTGATACTAGATATATATAATAGTATTACTTGCTCTTTAAACTCAAATAGACTTTATCAAAACTGATTATTCACATTAGTATAAATAATTTTTTTAATGATCTATTTGATATTTTTCAGTTTTGTTTAAGTGAAAAAAATGTAACAAAATCTGTTTGGAAGAGAAAAACACAGAAAAACATGAATCAGGTTTTAATAAAAATAAAGAATTAAACAAAAACAACAACGAGAGAACGAGAGGGGAGGGGCTGTGGGGTGAGGAGGTCATCTCCATGGTAACAGAACAACAGAGCACAAGAGAGGAAGAGCAGCAAAAGACTGAGAGAAGCAGAATAAGAAGAAAGAAAGAATAAAGTGGATCAACAGGTGAGCAGGAAACACATTTCCCACAATTCCATTCAATTCAATTCAATTCAATTTTATTGGTTTAGCGCCAATTCATAACAGAAGTTATCTCAGGACACTTTTCAAATAGAGCAGGTCTAGACCGAACTCTTTAAAACATTAATTACAGAGACCCAACAGTACCACCATGAGCAAGACCTTAGAGACAAGGGCAAGGAAAATCTGCCTGTTAAAAGGCAGAAACCTAGGACAGATCCTTCGGCTCTAGGTGGGTGGTTGTCTGTCTTGACCAGTTGGGGTGAGAGAGAGAGAGAGAGAGAGAGCGAGAGACAGACAGACAGGTGCACAGCAACAACAGTATTGGCAATGGCAATCTAGCAGGACCATGGCAGGAGGCTCCACCAGGATCGATAAGAACCTGCGAGACGAGAAAGGACAAGAACTCTGGGGAAGAAGTGAAGTTAGTAACATGCATTAATGGGACATGAATGAGTGCAGAAAGAGAGAGGAAGAGAGGAGCTCAGTGCACCATGGGAAATCCCCCGATAGTCTAGGCCTATAGCAGCATAACTAAGGGATGGTTCAGGACTCACCTGATCCAGCCCTAACTATAAGCTTTATCAAAGAGGAATGTCTTAAGCCTACTCTTGAATGTGGTGAGGGTGTCTGCCTCCAGAACCACAACTGGAAGCTGGTTCCACAGGAGAGGAGCTTGGTAACTGAAGGCTCTGGCTCCTGTTCTACTTTTAGAGACTATAGGAACCACAAGTAGCCCAGCATTCAGAGAACGTAGTGTTCTAGTGGGGTAATAGGGTACTATGAGCTCTTTAAGATATGAAGGGGCCTGACCATGAAGAGCTTTATAGGTGAGGAGGAGGATTTTAAATTCTATTCAACATTTTACAGGGAGCCAATGCAGAGAAGCTAGTACAGGAGAGATGTGATCTCTTTTTCTAGTTCCTGTCAGTACTTGTGCTGCAGCGTTCTGAATTAATTGGAGCATTTTAATGGACTTATTGGGGCAACCTGATAATAAAGAGTTGCAGTAATCCAGCCTTGAAGTAACAAATGCATGGATTAGTTTTTCTGCATCTGTCTGTGATAGTATGTGTCTAATTTTTCCAATATTACGTAAATGAAAGAAGGCAGTCCTAGAGGTCTGATTTATGTGGGAGTTAAATGACAAATCCTGATCAAAGATAACTCCAAGATTCCTGACAGTGGTGCTAGAGGCCAAGTTAATGCCATCTAGAGTGACTATGTCTTTAGACAATGAGTCTCTAAGGTTTTTGGGGCCAAGAACAAGAATTTCGGTTTTTTTCTGAGTTTAACATCAGAAAATTGCAGCTCATCCAGGATTTTATGTCCTTAAGACATGTTTGTAATTTAGATAATTGATTCATTTCATTGGGCTTGATTGATAGATATAACTGCGTATCATCTGCATAACAGTGAAAGTTAATGGAGTGATTCCTAATAATGTTGCCTAAGGGAGCATATATAAAGTAAATAGTATTGGTCCAAGTACAGAACCTTGTGGAACTCCATGACTAACTGTAGTATTTATTGAAGATTCATCGTTAACATGTACAAACTGCGAGCGATCTGATAAATATGACTTAAACCAGCTTAGTGCGGTTCCTTTAATGCCAATTTGATGCTCAAGTCTCTGTAAAAGAATATTATGGTCAATGGTGTCAAATGCAGCACTAAGATCTAATAATACAAGTACAGAGACAAGTCCATTGTCAGAAGCAATCAAAAGGTCATTATTAACTTTAACCAGAGCTGTCTCTGTGCTGTGATGAACTCTAAATCCTGACTGAAAATCCTCAAATAAACTATTGTTATGTAGAAAGTCACATAAACTCTTTGGCGACTACTTTCTCCAGAATCTTAGAGAGGAAGGGGAGGTTAGAAATCGGTCTATAGTTGGCTAAAACCCCTGGGTCAAGAGTGGGCTTTTTAAGAAGAGGTTTAATTACAGCTACTTTAAAGGACTGTGGTACATATCCTGATAATAAAGATAGATAGATAGATAGATAGATAGATAGATAGATAGATAGATAGATAGATAGATAGATAGACTTTATTAATCCCCAGAGGGAAATTGGGTCGTCATAGCAGCCAGGTACATTAAAATACAATAAAATACAACAATAGAATAAAATACAGCAATAGAATAAAATACTTAGAAAAGATAAAAAAAAGATAAATAGGTAGGTAAGGTGCAAAGAGTTGTAGTTGCAAGATGGTGGTAATAGTACTGATGACATGATGGTAGTGGTATTGTTAAGAACAGTATATAATAATAACAGTATATAATGATAATATTAATAATATTTATAATAAAATAATAATAATATGTGTATATACTATGATGATTGAACGATATACATGTATACACATAGATATTATACATTAATATTGATATAATGTAAACATGTGTCATATATTCAGCCTGTGCAAGGTGTGCATACATACATACTGTAATATATATACACAATATATAATATAATGTACACACACATATATATACACAAGATATGATATGATATAAAGCATATGTATAATAGATACTTGACTATACAAGAAGATATACATACAATAGATAATATCTCATATATTGTTATATAATAATAATAGTACTATATGATATAATAATAATAATAATAACAATAATAATAATAATTATAGTAGTAATAATAATAATAATAGTAGTAATAATAATATATTATTAATATAATAATATATTTTATAAATATGATATATAATATCAACATCAATAATAACAATAACACATATCACATATGATAGTATATGTTCCACAGGTAGATTTAGTCCAGTTCTGTGATTGTGGATCTGACAGAGGCAGATGAGTTATACAGTCTTATAACAGTGGGGAGGAACGATCTCCGGTATCGTTCCTTAGAGCAGCGTGGTTGAATGAGTCTGTTGCTGAAGCTGCTCTTTAGCTTGTCCAGTGTTTTGTGGAGGGGGTGGGAGGGATTGTCCATGATTGCCAGCAGTTTTGCCAGCATCCTCTCCTCCACCACCTCCTCCAGGGTGACAAACTTACATACTTGGTGCCTCATTGTGGAGATTACAGAATAAATCTGTATTTATATCATTCATCATTAATCATTAATGATAATTACTACGTAAATATCCTGTTGTTTCCAGCGACCTGTTCAACCCAAAGTTCTCTCCAAACACCAAAGAAGAACAACGACGAGATGGAGGAAGACTGCAGAGGTAATACAAACAGACAGACAGACAGACAGACAGACAGACGGAGAGAGAGACAGACCTGTTCTTGTCTGTGTTTTAGATGGAGCAGAAGTCTTGATGGAGATTGACCAATCAGCAGGGGAGGAGGTGAGGAATATCAGTAACATTTAATAATAATAACATTTGGGTGCCCGGTTAGCTAAGTTGGTAGAGATGGTGACCCACATATGGAATTGCTGCAGCGGCCCGGGTTTGAGTCCGACCTGTGGCCCTTTTCTGTGTGTCATCCCCTCTCTCTACCCCCTTTTCCTGTCTGTCTTTGGCTGTCCCTATCTAATAAAGGCATGAAAAGGCCAAAAAAAAACCTTAAAAAAAATAAAAATAAAATAAATAATAATAATATTTAACTTCTACACTGACGAATAAAACCTTTACGAACTGAATCTGAGAAAGAATTGGGGAGGCATTTGAATCTATTGATCTGTATGATCAGTTAAATGTAAGAATTAAGTACAGTACATTTTTGGATGTGGAGGACAGTTTGTTCTGGGAAGGTTTGGGATATTCCTTAATAACTTTGATCGCCGGGTCTTGTTCATATGGCAACACAAGCAGTGGCAGCGAATCAGAGAAGTTGACAAGTAACGGTGAGCGATGCAGGCGAGGACCAAAGAACCAGTAATAAAATTATACATCTCTCCAATGTTCTTCAGTGTGTTAGTCATTGTAATAGTCTCTCTCTCTCTCTGTCTGTCTCTATCTTTTTCTCTCTCTTTCAAATTCAATTCAAATTCTTTCTCTCTCTCTAGCTGTCTCTCTCTCTCTCTATCTGTTTGTCTCTCTCTCTCTGTCTGAAAATCTACATCCTGTTTTACCCTAGCCTGACTCCGCCTCACGTTGCAGCGCCAGATCGTATGTAAACAATACATGTTGAAATGTTTTGTAATGGACGATGCTGTCGTGTGCCACATTCACCCTTCACCCCCAAAGTCCATCGAACAGAAACTAATATCCATACACATTCACACACCAATGCATGGCATCGGGAGCAATTTGGGGTTCAGTACACATACTTCGACATGTGGCACCAGGAGTGGGGGGTTGAACCCACAACCTTCCGACTAAGGAACGACCCACTCTGCCTCTGAGCCACAGCCACCCTGATGCTATCTCTTTTTATAGACCGACACCCTCATGTGGAAACACATTCAGTAAGTGTGTGAATGTGTGTTTGTCCACTTTTAACAAACATTCACACAAATAATCGAACAATAATAATACATTTGATATAGAATATATATTTGGAGTTGTCACAGTTACGTCACTGCAGTTGGAATGTTTAACAATCAGACTTAATATTCTTCTTTTGTCACAGATTCACTGTTTTCTTCTCATTGTTGTCATCAGCTGTTGATCAGAGACTGAAGCTCTGACACTGTACACTAATCAATAATAATAATAATAATAATATACACTGTGATCAATAATAATAATAATAATATACATTGTGATCAATAATAATAATAATAATATACACTGTGATCAATAATAATAATGAGAATATACACTGTGATCAATAATACAATAATAATATACACTGTGATCAATAATAATAATAATATTAATGTACACTGTGATCAATAATAATAATAATAATGTACACTGTGATCAATAATACAATAATAATATACATTGTGATCAATAATAATAATGATAATATACACTGTGATCAATAATATAATAATAATATACACTGTGATCAATAATAATAATTATTAAAGCTGCAAGCAGTGATGAACCGGTCCTCACACTCCACGCAAATTACATTTCCTTTTACCACTAGGTCTTTCACCACTAGGTGGGGCTCTCACTATTACTGAATATTATGACATAGACGTGTTCAGGGCAAACGTGTGATGTTTCATTGAGATTGGACCATGTACACTGAAGTTGTGAGGACGTATTCAGGGTGGGACTGTACACTGAAGATATGTCTGTTTTATGGCCAATCAGAAGATTTGACACGTCGCGGGCATGCAGTTAAACCTACAGTCACAAATAGCACAACTTTTGATCACCAATGTGTCTAGGTTGCAGTGATGGAATTTGAAGTCAATCTGATAAAATCTGTAGGAGGAATTAGTTAAAACAGAAGCCCTTAACTGGCATGGCATCACAGTTTGATTCAACCTAGCCAACTTTGACGGCACGCCACGTATACGCCCTTCAACGTACGTAGACAAATAGCACAACTTTTAATCAGCAACATAGTTTGACTGTCCTAATTTTGAAGTAGATCCAATAAATTCCCTAGAAGGACTTTGTTCAAATACAAGGCAAAACGTTTGCCGAAAGTGAAGATCAAAATCAAAATGGCTGACTTCCTGTGGGGTTTAGGGTATGGGTCCAAGAGGCTTTTTTGTAGGTCTCGGCATGTTACACGTGCGTACCAAGTTTCATGTATATCGGTGAAACGTGGCGCCGGGGCTGCTTTTTTAAAATCCTGTAGGGGGCGCTACAAACACAACAAACACAAATTTTGGTACGTGAGCTACAGGGACCAGTCTACACGTGCCCTGTGAATTTCATATTCATAATTATTACAGTCTCCGCACAGTGATTTGCCATGCCACCAGAGCGCCACCTAGTGGCGGATTGTTGACACATTTTGTAGTGAGCCTCAGGGAGCCATGGGCAAGCAAAAAAGTAGTTTACAGACATTTCGTGCTCTAGCGAAAGAAAATTCTAGGCGAAAATGGGCATGGCCTTTATGGGGAGATTCTGCTTCATACACTGCACGCGTGTATATAAGGTTTTTGAATGTGCGACAAACTGCAGAAGTTATTAGCTTTAACGCATTTTTTTATGGTAGTAGCGCCACCTAGTGGCCAACCCAAAAGCGACACATAGAATATAAAATTATTCGCCACGACTGACATGTGCGCCGCCATGTTTCATGAGTTTTCGAGCACGGGAAAGCTTCCAAATATGCGTTTGTTTAGGAGAAAAAAAAAAAGAATTCCTATAGGGCCTTTGCACGGTGCTCGGGCCCTAATAATAATAATATACACTGATCAATAGGTGGTTTACAGGTGGTTTACAGGTGGTCTACAGGTGGTTTACAGGTGGTCTATGAATGTTTCAGCAGATGCAAACTTAAACCAAACTTAAGGCGGGAAAGCAACCCAGCTCTGTAAGACCTTTGGCCCCTCCCAACCCTCAGGTACCTCAGCACAGGAAACCATACAAACCCTAACCCTTACCCAATTAGTTTTTAATTTATTTTACTAATTAATAAATCAAAGCGAAAGTGGAAAGAATCACCACAAACAAATGTTACTCAGACTAATACTGTGTGACTAATACTGTGTGTGTGTGTGTGTGTGTGTATGTGCGTGCGTGTATGTGCATGTGCATGTGCATACAGGAAGCAGCTGGTGGAACCTGATGGTTTGATTGACAGACACAGAGGAAATACCTTATAAGGAAGTCAGGTAAGAAAAGAGTGAAGGAAGGATGGAAGGAAGGAGGGAATGAAGAAAATGTTTTTGTGTCCTCCAGAGTCTCTAGAGAGCTAATAAGAATGTGTCGTTGTCCGAGGGGGTGGAGACATCATCGGTGGGCATCGGCTACAGACCTCCAGTAGGTGTCAATCAAATGTTTCAGTCAGTGATGTCATCAGTTAATGATTAAAATAATTGATCATCAGGGCAGAACCTGAACCTGAATTACTGCCTGTCGAGGTGAGCTGCTGTTTGTCTCTGTTCTCTAGTTCAAAGACGGGGCTGCTTCCTCCTCTTCCTATTACCAAGGCAACTGAAACCTCCTGTCGATTAGCCACAAGTCCCTGAAGCAGATGCTGACTAAATCTTTACCCACAATTCAATGTTCATTTCCTTTGTATGAAATGTTCTGATTTTGGTTGATGTTTGTATTTTACATTGAAACTAAAAATAATTAAAATGGATTCAATTCAATTCAACTCAGGCAGAAACAGAGAGAGAGAGAGAGAGAGAGAGAGAGAGAGAGAGAACAGAGAGAGAGAGTATCTGTGTAACACACTAGCAGCAGAATCTTACAGCAGAAGGGGGGTAACCCTAACCCTACCTCTAACCCAAAGAACACTACTTACAGACAAGAAGCAGAAGCGTTGTATAAATGGAGGATCTGTGCACTGTTAGTGGTCTGGATCCTCTCTGGGTGAGTCTCTCATTAAACATCTGACCAATAATCTGATTAATTTAAAGATACTTTTTAACCCTTTTAAATCAGTCATATGTTAAGTTCATGTTTATATTAAATTTAACTGAAATATAGTACAGTCTGTATCAGTCAGTGTTTGGTTTGTCCGTTGTGGGTTATAGTAGAAACATGTGTCTCATTCTAAGGTAACAGAAACACATTAATTCTTATTTTCAGGTGGTTATAGACTAATGAAAACACAACTATGGATATTATATTTCAGTAATGTGACACACAGGAGCTTTCAACTATTTCAACCTGTTGACACGTCACTCACCTGTGAGATGTGAACACTGATGGTGTTTTCTGGTTTCAGGACTGGAATCTGACCTGGTACACCTCGCAACCAGACCTGACCCAGTGTTTCCAGCACACTGTACTGGTTTGGTCCCCCTGTGTTTACCTGTGGACCTGTTCTCCTCTTTACCTGCTGTACCTGCAGCTCCGCCCACACCGAGGCTTCATCCCACTGTCCAAACTCTGCTGCAGCAAGACGGTAAGACCCAGTGCTGATGCTGAACCAGGTACCAGGACTCAGAGGACTCTGGTTTAACCCTGGTCTCTGTGGTTTTTGTTCTAACCTTGGTCTCTTTGGACCCTGTTGCAGCTTCTGGGTCTCAGTCTGGCTTCGTTCGGTCTTCTGGAGATGTTTTACTTCCTGGTGAAGAAAAATGAAGAGACCCAGAACCACCTGTTGATCCTGATGGGTCCACTGATTCGGAGCCTCACTCTGGTACGTTATTCTTCTTCTTCGGTAGCTCAGGAGGTTGACCGGGTTGTCCACTAATCATAAGGTTGGCAGTTCAATTCCTAGTTCTTCCAGCTGCATGTTGAAGTGTTTTTGAGCAAGATATTGAACCCCTGTATGAATGTGTGTGACTGTAGTGTTAAAGTGCTTTGAGTATTCAGAAGACTAGAAAGGAACAATATAAGTGCAGTCCAATTACATTCTTCTTCCTCCTTCTCCTCAGGTTCTTGCTGTTGTTATAATCCAGGTAGAGAGGATGAAGGGCTGTCGTTCATCTGTCCTCCTCTTCCTCTTCTGGACTCTTCTGGTTCTCTGCTCCCTCGTTCCTCTGAAGGTTGACATTGAGCAGATAATTTATCAGGTATCAACCCAGTTGAGAAACTACAGTACAGTCAGTGTTTGGTTTGTCGGTTCTGGGCTACTGTAGAAACATGCTGGTTCCTGGCTCCCTCTGTAAATAAAAACGTCTCATTCTAAGATAACAAAAACACGATGATTCTTATTTTTAGGTGATTATACACTAATGAAATAATAATGATGAAGTTTTATATTCAGGGAGTAATGGATTATGAGTTATCCAATCTGGATAAAAAACAAATATTATCCATCACAGTTACAGAAAAAAAGACAAGTCAGTATAATTTATTGCCAAATTTATTCAAAGTACAAAATGTATATTTTACCCTCTTAAATAATATAGTCAGAGGGACATTCAATTCAATTTTATTTGTATAGCGCCAATGGCAAGTTATCTCAGGACACTTTTCAAATGGAACAGGTCTAGACTGAATTCAGTTTGACCTACTGTATTGGCTCAGGTCAGATTTTCTTCAGTGTCAGACTGAGATAAAGAGAAAACCTCAAATATTTAAGTGAACATTTTAACCTTTAGGAGATAACTGAAGGGCCCCTGTTCTACTTTTCCCCTCCTATAAGACCTGGGATAAGTGCTGGGAAATTGAAGGAGGTTTTCTGTTTAATGATCTCCTCACTGCCTTCTTGTTTCAGTCTGTCTGTTTTCTTTTTCTCTTTTATGTCGCCCAGCTCTTTCTCCACTGTACACCCTTCCAGTTTGATTCTCCTCTTCTTCAACAGCTTTTCTTCTCTGTTCTTCTCTTTCAGCTGCAGTATTTCACAGCTCTCTGAAGGTTAAAGTTTCTCTGGCAGGGTCTAAATGTACTTTCTTCTGAACGTGTGAATACTGTATATGAGTTTGTGTTAATCATTTCTTAGAAAGCAGTTCATATGTAACTGATAATTACATACAAGGCTTCCTGGAAAAGACAGAAGACTATTAATCAACAGAGTTCGGTAAAACAGATACGAATAAAGCAGGTGGACAGCTGATAAGTATCTACTGGGTTATTAGAGAAAGGTTTGTTAAAGTTTCTACTGTGACTTCTCTTTTGTAAAATTTTCTCAGACCTTTATTAATATCAACAAAATTTTAACAGCAAGGGAAATGTTTTCATTTTTCAACATTCAAGTTTGAATTCTTCACTTTTAGTAGTGATATCAGATATGTGATATTTAAATACAAAAACATCTTGAGTATTTCTATCCTATAACTTCTGACCTCTGACCTCTGCTTTTTCAGGGGTTTTTGTCAGACGCTGTTCGTTTTGTGGCATTCTTCATCTGTTTTTTTCTTCAACTAATTGAGCTCGTCCTCAGCTGCTTTTCTGACCACCGAACAGTCTCTGAAAAACACACCTACATACAGGTAACAAACACACACCTACGCAAAGGTAACACACCCACACCTATGCACAGGTAACACACCCACAAAGCTACGTACAGCTAACACACACACACACCTACGTACAGGTAACATGCGCACACCTACCACCTACGTACAGGTAATACACATGCACACCTACGTACAGCTAACACGCACACCTATGTACAGGTAACACACACGCACCTACGTACAGCTAACATACGTGCACACCTACGTACAGCTAACGCGCGCACCTATGTACAGGTAACACACACACACACACACCTACATACAGGTAACATGCGCACACCTTTGTACAGGTAACACACACGCACCTACGTACAGGTAACACACGCACACCTACGTACAGGTAACCCACACGCACCATCGTACAGGTAACACACGAGCACACCTACGTACAGGTAACCCACAAGCACACCTTCGTACAGTTAACCCACACGCACACCTACGTACAGGTAACACACACGCACACCTACGTACAGGTAAGACACACACCTATGTACAGGTGAAGTCATTTTCAAACCTTTTGATTGATTGATTGTTTGATTATCAAAGGAATATTCTCTCTTTATCATATGTTTTTAATTGAACATTTTTTATTAAAACATGGTTCTTTCTTGTTAGAACCAATGTCCAGAGGAAGATGCCTCGTTTCTCTCCAAGTTTTTCTTCTTGTGGTTCAGCAGGTACAAACATCACAGCTGAAACACTCACATCACCAAAACACCACAACTCATGAGTCCACATTTAGTTCTTGTTATTGTATAGTTGATTTAAATTGTTATTATTATTATTTAAGATTTAACTCCTCTTGTGTTTACTTTTTCTTTAAATAATTTAACTACTACTACTACTACTACTACTACTACTACTACCATAGGCGGAGCTAGGGCATCATGGGCAAGCTAAATTAGGAAACTGGCCCACCAGTGCTCCCGATGGCCTGTAGAATACTGAAAGTTTGTTCAAACTTTGAGACTGGTTTTCTGGAGGGCCTGAGATGCAACATGGATGATGTGCAGGGCATAGAGCACAATCACACACACAGGATTCCAGTCTTCCCACGCTGTAACGCAGGCCTGGAGTCCCTGAAGTCTCAGTAAATCTGCAAAACTCAGTGTGGTCATAGAGTGATAGAGTGGTCATGATGAGTTTCTCACAGCTGACACATTATACCATCTACAGTCCCACTGTGTGTTGATAAAGGAGGTGAAACCACTTTGATAGATAGATAGATAGATAGATAGATAGATAGATAGATAGATACTTTATTTATCCAGAGGGAAATTCAAGCATCCAGTAGCAGCATACATAAATTAGACATACATTAAACATACATTCATGCATTAAACATACATTAAAATTAACCACATTAAGTACAGTAGCCATACATTAAATTGGATAGATTAAACTTTTGCAGAGGAAATAAATATGTGCCGAGAGAGAAAATAAACTAGAAAAATAGAAATGAAACACGTGTTGAAGGTGCTGGAGAAATCAAAAAACATGATTCTCACAGCGCCGCTCTCCTTGTCCAGATGAGAGTAGGCCTTGTGGAGCAGATAGAGGATGGCATCCTCCACGCCCACTTTCTCCTGGTATCCAAACTGCAGTGGATCTTTTGCGTGGTGGACCTGGGGTTTGATGGGATGGAGCAGCAGCCGTTCGAAGGTCTCTGGAAGCCGGTGGCGAAAATAAAACAGGACACACATGACTACAATATAAAACACTAATGGACATGACAGTAATACTGCTACTACTACTGCTACTACTATACCAATACTACGATAACTAATACTAATACTACCTACAGTCAAACTACAACTTCTATAATGACTAATAATTGTAACATTATTATTAGTGCTGTCAGATAAATGCGAAATTTACTTTTAAAAAGTTGCCAAATGGTTCCATTGACAAGACCAAAGTGATCTGTGTGTTTTGTCGTTGTGAACTGAGCTATCATCGCAGCACGTCCAGTCTGAAATACCACTTGATGGCCACGCACACAACTGATGCGAATTCTCCGCCCCCTCATCAAAGCCAGGCAACAATGGATGATTTTTCAATAAAAACAACATTTGCACAAAGCAAGCCGATCCACCTTTCCATGTTGATAAGAGCATTAAAATGAGAAAAAATAATGGGACAAAAAGAAATCAAGGGACATTTAGAATAGATAAAAATGTGCGATTAATTGCAAGTTAACTATGACATTAATGCGATTAATCGCGATTAAATATTTTAATCGTTTGACAGCACTAATTATTATGAATAAATATGTGTTATGTTTCATATTCCTGTCAGTTTGGTGGTTCGAGGTTACCGATGTCCCCTTCAGGCTGCAGACCTGTGGCCTCTGCGGGACCAGGACTCATCGCTCCAGATCATGATGGACTTGGAGAAGTGCAAACAGCTGCAGTAGGACACTTTAATTACGACACTTTACATTTTAATATTAAGATAAATGATACTTAATCTGAATGTTAACACTTAATAAAGAAATAAATAAACATGTCTGTCACAGTGATGTCAGAGTGACATTACAGTGATGTCACACTGCTGAGGCTGATTTCTTCTATGTGATTGGTGTCAGTTCAGCTGCTGATTAAACTCAAACTTACTGTAGATGTTTCCAAATAAAAGCCCCCTGACTCATTGAAAGGCTTTTTAATGTGAAACACTACAACCAGACAAGATAAAAGTTTCTTCCTGACTGGCTGTCAGTCTCTACCCTGTCATTGGGTGTCAGTGGGTTTAGCTGATGGATGGATTAAAACAGTCATTTTTTTTTTTTTTTTTTAAAGATTCAAGGGTTTTATTTGTTAATATGCTCATTCAATACTGTATGTGCAGTGAAATACAAGGTGGCATTTTATTAAGGTTGTGCTTTAAGACTAATGTGCAATAAGGAGTAATAATTACAGTAAACATTTAGTAGTGGGTTAATAATCACTATTACAACACTACAGAGGAAACAGCACTGTACAAAAATCATCTTTGGTGGATTGGTGGATAAAACATATTTAAAATAATGATCAACAAACAAATAACACTGTGTTGTAAGATTAATCAAATTCAGAGTGATTACATGTGTTAATATCACTGCACCTGAGTTTCCTCACTCTGTGGAATCACATTAACGACAATCTTCCCCGTGTTCTTGTTGGCCTCCATGTGCCTGTGAGCTTCTGCGATGTCCTCCAGGTTGAACGTGCTGTCAATCACTGGCCTCAGGGAGGATGTCTGGTCTGAGAAACACGGTAACACTCTGTGTGAGAAAGCTTTTACCAGCTCTGCTTTGTACTGAAGGCTGCAAGAGCGGAGGAGGCTGCTGAGCAAGCGGCCGCGCTTGGAGAGCAGTTTGCCCAGCAGATCTCCCTCTACCGCCCGGCCTCCCATGGTGCCGTACAGCACCCACCGGCCGTCGGTGGCCAAAGAGCTCACATTTTGCTCCCAGTTACACCCACCAATGCAGTCGAGGATGACGTTTGCTCCCTTGCCTCCTGTAAAGTCATGAACTCCCTGTGCGAAGCTCTCCTCTCTGTAGTTAAACCCAGCTGCTGCTCCCAGGCTCTCAGCCATCTTCAGTTTTTCGGGGCTCCCCGCAGTAACGATGGGCACGGCACCAAACAGACGAATCAGCTGAACAGCAGCTGTTCCGACTCCGCTGGCATGAGCCAGCACCACATCACCCTCCTCCACCTGAGCTACGAAAACCAGCAGCTGAAAGGCAGTGAGCCAGGCCTCTGGGATCGCAGCGGCCTGGCAGAGTGTGAGATTAGGGGGAACGGGCATGAGGAGGTCCTCAGGCACAGCAACATATTCTGCATATCCTCCTCCACAGAGCAAGGCCATGACCCTGTCATCTGGCTTCCAGCTTGTTTTCACCCCTGGGCCCAGAGTATCCACAGTACCAGCCACCTCCAGGCCTATGATATCACTCTCACCACCCTGTTGAGAGCAGTTGCGTGAACTTTAATTAGGATTTCCCGGTCTTTAGGCTGAGGTCTCGGGACAGTTCGCAGCAGTAAATTCTCAGGTCCTCCTGGTACGTCGACACACACTGCCCGCATCATCTTGGCAAAGCTAGAGTAGCACTTATTCCAGGCTGACTTATGGGTGTTTCCCAGTAAAAATGTTCCAGTGCACAGGATGTGATGCATTTGACAACAGCCGGTGATGTCAACTGTTCATCACCTTTAAGGCGACTATTTGTGTTTTTGGGAAGTTTAGTTGAGCCATCATGCAGACTGGAGATGAGTTTGGCGCGGGAGGGCAAAAACAGTAATTTTTAAGTGAAGGTCATTGGTACATTAGTTCAGACCCTGCCCCCCAAAATTCTTCTTACTTGTATTGATGTTTTGCAGGAAAGAGCCTGTGGGTTCTGGACCATTGTGGTCCTGTGGTTCTGCTGCAATGACAGAAAAAACTTACCTGCTGAGGAAGAACAGTAAGGGGCAGGACTATAGCCTCCTCCTCCTGCGCACTCTGGGGCGGACCTTTGGGCTTTACTTCCTGTGTGGTACTCTGTGTCTCCTTTTGCACGATGCCTTCATGTTCGCTGTGCCACAAGTTCTCAGGTGAGTGTCAGAGAGGTCACAAATATGTTTTCTGATGTCTCTCTCTGCTCTCTGACGTTTACAGCTCCAGTTTCATCTATTCTATTCAATTCAATTCAATTTTATTTGTATAAATAATAGTAACGGTAGTAATAATAATAGTAATAATAATAATAACAATAATATCATGCATCAGTACAGGTGCACCTCAGGGCTGTGTAAGCTCACCGGTCCTGTTCACCCTTTAATTTCGATTCAATTCAATTCAATTCAATTTTATTTGTATAGCGCCAATTCATAACAGAAGTTATCTCAGGACACTTTTCAAATAGAGCAGGTCTAGACCGAACTCTTTCAAACATTATTTACAGAGACCCAACAGTACCACCATGAGCAAGCACTTGGTGACAAGGGCAAGGAAAAACTGCCTGTTAAAAGGCAGAAACCTAGGACAGATCCTTCGGCTCTAGGTGGGTGGTCGTCTGTCTCCACCAGTTGGGGTGAGAGAGAGAGACAAAGAGAGAGAGAGAGAGAGAGAGAGAGAGAGACAGACAGGCGCACAGCAACAACAGTATTGACAATGGCCTTGTCTCTGTACTTGTATTATTAGATCTTAGTGCTGCATTTGAGACAGAGAGAGAGAGAGAGAGAGAGAGAGAGGGAGACAGAGAGAGAGAGAGAGAGAGAGAGAGAGACAGACAGACAGACAGACAGACAGACAGGTGCACAGCAACAACAATATTGGCAATGGCAATCTAGCAGGACCATGGCAGGAGGCTCCACCAGGATCAATAAGAACCTGCGAGACGAGAAAGCACAAGAACTCAGGGGAAGAAGTGAAGTTAGTAACATGCATTAATGGGACATGAATGAGCGCAGAAAGAGAGAGAGAGGAAGAGAGGAGCTCAGTGCACCATGGGAAATCCCCCGATAGTCTAGGCCTATAGCAGCATAACTAAGGGATGGTTCAGGACTCACCTGATCCAGCCCTAACTATAAGCTTTATCAAAGAGGAATGTCTTAAGCCTACTCTTGAATGTGGAGAGGGTGTCTGCCTCCCGAACCACAACTGGAAGCTGATTCCACAGGAGAGGAGCTTGGTAACTGAAGGCTGTGGCTCCTGTTCTACTTTTAGAGACTATAGGAACCACAAGTAGCCCAGCATTCAGAGAACGTAGTGTTCTAGAGGGGTAATAGGGTACTATGAGCTCTTTAAGATATGAACAATAAAGTATATTCTATTCTATTCTCTAGTTCGCTGAGCCTCACCTCCAGCGCAGTAAATAAATTTCACTTAATACAGGTTTCATTATTACTAAAGGAGGCAGAGGAATAGCTAAACATCTGACACACTGAGCAAGAGAGAACAGCAGAGGAAGAGGGAGAAGCCATGCTAATGAAGCAAGCGTGTGATTTTTTTTTTTGCATAAAGTCACTAAAAGAAAGAATTGGCTCCGAGTGCTTAGGTAGAACTAGTCTACGTTTAAATGTTAAGCGGGTAAATAACCGCTGTAACGAGGAAAACTAATTTGTTTTTAGCATTCACTAGACAGAGCTACAGCAGCAAACACTGTACACAGGAGCAGGAAGTAAACCAGAAAGGACTCAGTAAGCTTACCATTGCACTTCAGCACCGTGAATGCAGTCTCTTGAAATGTGTAATACAGAGCATTGAATCTGGTGTACATATTCAGGAAAAGTTTGTCTGGTTTTTAGGTGACTGCTGATGGTTTCAGTCAGTTTGTCGTTTGAAATAAAACGTTATTGAGACGTCAAAGACACAATAATGTGATGTTTTGGGTGATTTAAGTAAAATCAACAAACTGTCTGCACTTATTGTTTATTCTTGTTTTTGCTTATCGTTGTTGTTGTGGCCAGCTTGCTACTGGGTTTCATGAGGGACAAAAACGCTGAGATGTGGAAAGGTTTCCTGTTTGCTTCGTTGCTTTTCCTGCTGTCCTGTCTGCAGTCTGTCCTCCATCATCAATACATGTTCCACTGCTTCACTGTCGGGATGAGACTGAAGACAGCTGTCATGGGCCTTGTCTACAGGAAGGTAGCAGACAGATAATACTATTTTCTTTTTATTTATCTGATAAGTTGAACACAAAAAAATTTTCTGATTCCACTGAGCCTCACTGCTGTGACACTGTAGGATAGCTTTGAATCTGTATGACATCACTTGAGAATATTTTTTAGACTCCACATAGTTCCCTCTGGAGACACTGAAAGCTTTACACTATCTTAAAACATCTGCAGGTGAACCTCCTGACACCTGGATACACCTGGAAACATTGATGCGCTCAGCTAACATTTCAGAGTCAGTGTTTGCGCTCATCCAGTGTCTACTGATCAGCAGTGCAGTCAATAACATTTTCTATGTTTGAATCCTCAGTGTCTATTGATCAGCAGCGCAGCCCGGCAGCAGTGTACTTTGGGAGAAATCATCAATTTGGTTTCAGCCGATACACAGAAGCTGATGGACTTTGTGGTTTATTTCAACTGTATTTGGGTCACACCCATTGAGATCACACTCTGCTTCTACTTTCTGTGGCAGGTAACACACAATATACACACAAGGTTGATTGATTGACTGATTGATTGGTTGATTGGTTGATTGATTGATTGATTGATTGATTGATTGATTGACAGCTCCTTGGTCCACCTGCCCTTGCTGGCATTGCTGCTGTTGTTTTAATCTTCCCTCTCAATGGATTCATCGCTAAAGTGAGGAGCAGACTGCAGGTGAGAGATCAGTTTCATTGCCCTAATCCAGAACTAGATCCTGGCTCAGAGCTGAACCACAGTCTGTTCCTCAGGAAGTTCAGATGAACTTCATGGATGGTCGGATCAAACTGATGAACGAGATCCTGAGTGGTGTGAAGATCCTCAAATTTTACGCCTGGGAAGAAGCATTCCTCAGACGAGTCGGTGTCCTGAGAGATGGAGAACTCCACGCCCTAAAGAAGTCTCAGATCCTGTACTCTGTCTCTCTGGCTTCCTTCAACTCCTCCTCCTTCCTGGTGAGTCTCACACCTTCCTGCTCAGGTAAGCCTGACCCAGTAGCTGACTCTGATGAACTGTTGTACGTTATTGATCAGCTGAAGAGACTGGAGAGCCAGGGTCCTATCACACTCATGTGCCCACTCAGAGTACTGAGTCACTGTAAAGACTCATCCTGTCACTTCATTCTAACACTAGTTTTATCAGACATACAGTATCTCTGCCTGGTATCTTAAGTAATCTGATCACAAGCTTTAAGTAGGTCAGTTTACACCATTACAATGCATCTCCAGTGACCTCTCGTGATTTGATCTCTGTCATTTACAAAATCAGAATGTGGTCACTCAGTGTCCATTCCTTTTTGTACTTTTGGCTGTTCACTACCAAGATTCAACTATTTTTTCAGTTCAGTTCAGCTCCATACTAAACTCTTCCATCAGTGTTTTACATGCGCCGTCTGCAGCCTGCAGCAGGTGCATTGTGGGATTTTATGACTTAACTTTTTGAACAGACACACACTTTTACTTCCTCTGACTGTGTGGGAACCTGATGTTTCAGCTCATAGATGATGCAGAAAGACAATAATGTCAGAGAAAGTAAAAGTGTACATCCAGTGGGCTGCTCACAGGCTGTCAGTCCATCAGTCACTCACAGTGGACACCAGTGGAGGAGGTTGGACCGCCGTCTATTTTTTAAAAGAAATTAATGGATAACATTTACTGAATTTACGAGACAGTTCAAATAATGATCTGTGGTAGACAGAATTTCTCTTCAAATGGAGTCTGGTGATATTGTGGTTGCTAGTTCAGCGGTCAAATCAGTTGAAACAGAATGTGTGTTTACAAACATCTGCTGATGATCTCAAATATGACCCAATTGGACTGCGTGTTTCTGTGTTCTTACAGGACGTCAGTAAGTAGGCGGGCATTCAGTGTGGACCAGGACTCATTAGAGTGCACACTATAAATGATTTATGGTCTAATGGGTCCCAGACCACCTGGTTTGATTTGATTCACAATTAAGTCCTATTTATCAGATCGTTCTCAGTTTGTACATGTCAACAATAAATCCTCCATGCACACTAAAGTTATTCATGGGGTTTCACAAGGTTCTGTGCTTGGACAAATTCTATTCAACTTATACAGTATATGCTTCCCTTAGGCAACATTATTAGGAATCACTCCATTAACTTTCACTGTTATGATACCCAGTTATATCTATCAATCGAGCCCGATGATTAGGATTTCAGACGTTTTTATCAACATGTAAAAAAACTCATTTTACGCTTCTTCATATATTCTTTCTAATGAACTCCAAATCATCTGTGTTGTTAATTATTTTTGAAAATGAAAAAGTTTCACACGTCTTTGTGTCTTCTCTTATCAGATTGCCTTGTCAGTGTTTGGAGTCTATGTGTTGACTGATGAACGGAACGTTCTGGATGCTCAGAAAATCTTTGTTTCTGTCGCTCTCATCAACATCCTGAAAACTCCTTTAAGTCAGCTTCCCTTCGCCATGAGCACCACCATGCAGGTGACTCACACAGTTTTCACAGTTTCTTCAGTAAAAAGTATTTTTTATTGTCATTTTTAACTGAATTTCCCAGTCCAGCTCTGAGCTCGCTCACATAAAATATGAACAATAACAAACATGGACAAGTCACAGCACAGCAGCAAGTGCCGTCAAGTTAAACACATAATCAAGACTAGAAAAACACAAAAGAGCTGACTGTGTACATTCATATGACTAATTATAGTATTATGAGTATTATTATATATCACTGATTACAGTATATAATATTATAATAATAATATAATATATAAAAATCACTATAATATCAAAGTAGATCTGAATATGATTATATTTGTATATAAAACATTTTGTGAAAACTACCTAAAAGGTCTGATGGTACAGAGTAGTCTCTATATTGAAACACACCTAAAGATATAATAAACTAATCACATTAAACTAAATGTGAATAATAAAATATATTGCTCAGACCAATATATTCTGTGTGAGACAAACAGAAAATATAAAGGCATTGTTAAACAGGCAAATGAAAACAAAATATTACATTATTATAATATATTTCACAATGGTCAGTAGAATTACTTGAATATGTTTTAAATACAAAAAGTACAAACTATAATATCATATGTACAGTCGTGGTCAAAAGTTTTAAGAATGACACAAATATTAATTTTCACAAAGTCTGCTGCCTCAGTTTTTATGATGACAATTTGCATATATTCAGAATGTTATGAAGAGGGATCAGATGAATTGCAATTATTGCAGAGTCCCTCTTTGCAATGAAAATGAACTTAATCCTAAAAAAACATTTCCACTGCATTTCAGCCCTGCCACAAAAGGACCAGCTGACATCATGTCAGTGATTCTCTCGTTGCTCACTGAGTGTTGACAAGGACAAGGCTGGGGATCACTCTGTCATGCGATTGAGTTAGAATAACATAGTGGAAGCTTTAATAGGGGGGTGGTGCTTGAAATCATTGTTCTTGTTCTGTTAACTATGGTTACCTGCAAGGAAACACGTGCAGTCATAATTGCTTTGCACAAAATGGCTTCACAGGCAAGGATATTGCTGCTAGTAAGGTTGCACCTAAATAAACCATTTATTGGATCATCAAAAACTTCAAGGAGAGAGGTTCAGTTGTTGTGGAGAAGGCTTCAGGGCACCCAAAAAAGTCCAGCGAGACCCAGGACCAGGAAGTTAAATTAGTTGCGGTATTGGGGTACCACATGTGCAGAGCTTGCTCAGGAATGGCAACAGTCTGGTGTCAGTTCATCGGCACGCACAATGAGGCGAAGACCTTTGGAGGATGGCCTGGTGTCAAGAAAGACAGCAAAGAAGCCATTTATCTCCAGGAAAATCATCATGGACAGACTGATATTCTGCAAAAGGCTCGGGAAACAAAACTTCGAAATTTTGGGTCCATGGCCAGGAAACTCCACAAACCTTAATCCCATTGAGAACTTGTGATCAAATCCTCTAAAGGTGGGTCCAAGCACTGATTACGCAAGAATGGGCTGCCATCAGTCAGGATGTGACCAAGAAGTTAATTGACAGCATGCCAGGGTGAATTGCAGAGGTCTTGAAAAAGAAGGGTCAACACTGCAAATATTGACTCATAAACTTAATATAATTGTCAATAAAAGCCTTTGACAATTATGAAATGCTTGTAATTATACTTCAGAATACCATAGTAACATCTGACAAAAAGATCTAAAAACACTGAAGCAGCAAATTTTGTGGAAACCAATACCTAACCCTAACCTAACCCTGTCATTCTCAAAACCTTTGACCACAACTGTAATATAATAAATAATATCAGGAGGGTCTACTTATGAATGGTGATGTCATTGGTTGGTCAGTAGGTGGAGCTTTAATAGAGTTGATGATCTGATCTGGAACTTAACCACAGCAGCTGTTCAACATCAGTTACCATGGTGATGTATGTCGGTATTAAGTGGCCGACCATCATAAACCTGAAAACCCTGAAGGGTAAGTCCTGATCATACCTCACTGAGCCCAAATCCTGCTTCAGAGTACAGGGTCCTGAAAGTACTGTGACATTATCCAAGAGATACAAGGCTCTGATTGACCAGGTGTTCCCCTGAATAGATCTGGCTTTCAGTTGTTTAAACAGTGTCAGTAATTGGAAGTTGTGGTCTTTTAGCCATTGAATGAAGACCAAGTGCAGCTTCTACAACCACAGGGAGTCACTCAAAGCAGTTTTAAAAAGCTGTTGCAGTAAACACAACAGGAGTATTTAATTTCTTTAAAAATCAAGAGAGACAACAGTTTATCTAAAAAAATAAGCAGCGAGTGATTTTCCAGCAATCTGACCAAAGATTCAAGACCAGACAAAACCGTTTCAGAACTGCTACAGAGGAGACCTCGACTCAACCTGGAAAAAATATGTTATTTAGTTGAGATACACTCCTCCCACTTCTCAGGTGTCTTTTGTACTGTACTTTTATGTTTGGTAAAATATGTGATTATTAATCTGTGTTTAATGTTTCAATGATGGATGTATTTTTTATGATCAGGCCATCGTCTCTCTCAGACGTCTGGTGAAGTTCCTGCATCAAGATGAACTGAAGCCCGACAATGTGGAGAGACTTCCTCATAGTACAGGTATGCACACCTGTCTGACTCATGAAGACAAAACTCAGTTGACCTGTGTGTCCAGTACTGAAACTGTTAGACTAGTTTAGCATGCAGACTGGAAGCAAGGAATAGCTTAGCACAAAGACTGAAAGAAGGGGCAAACTGTTCAATTCAATTCAATTTTATTTGTATAGCGCCAATTCATAACAAATGTTATCTCAGCACATTTCAAATAGAACAGGTCTAGACCGTACTCCTTATATCGTTATTTACAGAGAACCAACGGTTCTCACCATGAGCAGGACATTGGCGATGGCAGCAAGGAAAAACTTCCTTTTAAGAGAAACTGTTGAGTTTTAAGAATTAAAATAAACTACATAGAACAATTCAATTCAATTTTATTTGTATAGCGCCAATTCATAACAGAAGTTATCTCAAGACACTTTTCAAATAAAGCAGGTCTAGACCGAACTCCTTATAACCTTTACAGAGACCCAACAGTACAACAGTACCACCATGAGTAAGCAATTGGCAACGGGGGCAAGGAAAAACTGCCTTTTTAGAGGCAGAAACCTAGGACGGAAAGAGAGAGAGAGGAAGAGAGGAGCTCAGTGCACCATGGGAAATCCCCCGATAGTCTAGGCCTATAGCAGCATAACTAAGGGATGGTTCAGAACTCACCTGAGCCAGCCCTAACTATAAGCTTAATCAAAGAGGAAAGTCTTAGGCCTACTCTTAAATGTGGTGAGGGTGTCTGCCTCCCGAACCACAACTGGAAGCTGGTTCCACAGGAGAGGAGCTTGGTAACTGAAGGCTGTGGCTCCGGTTCGTGTTTGAACAATATGAAACCATGTATTAGAACATGTATCAAAACAATTTGGAACCTTGTGGTGGAACCACATAGAACCATGTGTAAGCATGAGGAACCATATGCTGTGGAACCATGTGTTTGAACCACATAGAATTGTGTGGATCCATGTGGAACCATGTTCTGTCTTCAGACGGAGATTGTGTGGTGATTGAGGGTGGGTCCTTCTCCTGGACCAGTGACGGACTGCCGTGTCTGCAGGGAATCAACATGAAGGTGAAGACGGGCTTGCTGGTGGCCGTGGTTGGCAATGTTGGCTCAGGGAAGTCGTCTCTGCTGTCAGCCATGTTGGGAGAGATGGAGAGGAGGAGTGGCTTTGTCTCCATCAAGGTGACAACAGTTATTATTGTTACTCTTTGATTATTCATTTTTAAACTGTGAAAGTGTTTTTTTACGTGTGTGATGTCATTTTAGTGGACAGAGCCAGGGAGGGAAACAGTAATGAGCATGTGCAGTACAACATACAAAAACCTTTAGGGAGTTGCTGTTGCTGATGGTTTGTTATAATGGTTGTTTGGTTTATACTCATTAATCTAGTTCTTCTGATATATTTACAGCTTTGTCTCCAGACAAACACTGCATCAGAGAGGAATGTTTTATGGGTAATTGCAACATTAAAAATACAAAATTTCATCTTCTGTTAAAATAAACAATAAACAAACAGTGGCTGTTTTTCCATGACATCAGACCAAACTAAAATTTCAGCTCTGCTAAACTATGCAAGCAGTACCAGCAGCCAGAATTTAAAAAATACTAATCTGTAACATTTTCACATTCAGTATTCACTACAGACCTATGTTATATATTCTATTGAGTTGTGTACTGACATTATTATATTATTATGTCTCCAATAATGTTCAAACCCAGAGATATAAAACATATTTTATTCAGGTAACGGTGCATTTCCGACTTGTCTCTATTTGCTATAACTTAATGGATTATTATTTCTTAAGGTGATTCATTATGAGCACTTTATATTATAGGACACTATTTATAGTGCCATTTATCTAGTGTATAGCTTTGTCAGATTGTCCTTAACTCACTATATACTCTATTGCTTTGTGATTGAATACTGACCTTTATACCATGGTCTGTGTGAATACTGGACACTGATTGGCTGCAGGGTGTCCATTACTTCCTGATGTAGGACACTTACTGAGTATTTCCAGTAGTGCTGTCAGTTTAACGTGTTATTAACGGCGTTAATGCAAACCCATTTTAAGGGCGTCAATTTTGGTATCGCGAGATTAACGCCTAGCACACTTTGTAGTTTTTTTCACATGCTGTTGCAACAACTAGTAATGTTAGAAAAACTACAACACCACACCGGATCTAGCTAGACTGGAAACAAAACAACAGGCACGCCACACACACTTGTTTAAGAGTAAACGCTACGTTTTGAGTGGATGGCAAGTGCGAGACGCCAAAATGGATGGATTCCTTGTTGTCTGAAAATGTCAACAGGCTTGTCTGTTTGAGTAACCGGCTCAAAGCAAAGAAGTAGTAGGCTTACCTTTTATTGGTAACCGTTACTGTTCATTCTTTCTGAAATAAGAGGCTGGGTTAAAGAGCAGTAGCCTGACTGCTATGTACAAAGCAAACTTGAGAAAAGTATTAAGCCATGGTTTAACTGCACTATAGGCTGAGTCCTAGTTTACCTTACATGTGCACTTTGTATTTTTATTTTGTATCGCCCTGTTTTGATCCCTTAGAAAGGGCTGTTGAAGGGGCTGTTATTTTTTTCACCCTTTTATTGATGGACAGTGTTACATAGTGTGAGAGATTATTTGCTCCAAGTGAGAATGTTAGTGTGAAATTGAACAGTACAGTATATGCCAATGTTGTTTTCAATAAAAACATTTGCACAAAGCAAGCCGATACACTTTTCTATGTTGATAAGAGCATTAAAATGAGAAAAAATAATGGGACAAAAAGAAATCAAGGGACATTTAGAATAGATAAAAATGTGCGATTAATTGCTATTAATTGCGAGTTAACTATGCCATTAATGCGATTAATCGCAATTAAATATTTTTATCGTTTGACAGCACTAATTTCCAGTGAAACTGTCCGTTCACTGTTCTGAATGAATGAAATAAACTGAATGAAAATAGATAGATAGATAGATAGATAGATAGATAGATAAATAGATAGATAGATAGATAGATAGATAGATAGATAGATAGACTTTATTTATCCCAAGGGAAATTCAAGTACCACAGCCACTACACTGTCCATTTGAACTCACTGATACTCCCATTGCATTGGTTGTTCAACTCACTACTACAGGCTGCGGCCATCAGCGCAATTCAATTAAATTCAATTTTATTTGTATAGCGCCAATTCGTAACAGAAGTTATCTCAGGACACTTTTCAAATAGAGCAGGTCTAGACCGAACTCTTTATAACATTATTTACAGAGACCCAACAGTACCACCATGAGCAAGACCTTGGAGACAAGGGCAAGGAAAAACTGCCTGTTAAAAGGCAGAAACCTAGGACAGATCCTTCGGCTCTAGGTGGGTGGTCGTCTGTCTCGACCAGTTGGGGTGAGAGAGAGAGAGAGAGAGAGAGAGAGAGACAGACAGGTGCACAGCAGCAACAGTATTTGCAATGGCAATCTAGCAGGACCATGGCAGGAGGCTCCACCAGGATCGATAAGAACCTGCGAGACGAGAAAGCACAAGAACTCAGGGGAAGAAGTGAAGTTAGTAACATGCATTAATCGGACATGAATAAGTGCAGAAAGAGAGAGGAAGAGAGGATCTTAGTGCACCATGGGAAATCCCCCGATAGTCTAGGCCTATAGCAGCATAACTAAGGGATGGTTCAGGACTCACCTGATCCAGCCCTAACTATAAGCTTTATCAAAGAGGAGTGTCTTAAGCCTACTCTTGAATGTGGTGAGGGTGTCTGCCTCCCGAACCACAACTGGAAGCTGATTCCACAGGGATGTGCACATGTCCTATCATTGATAAAAAAATCTGCATATTGATTTGGGGACAATGAAATGTTTAGTCTTGTTAAACATTCTATCAGATTATATTTACTAGTTTAGTTTGTTAACTTTGAATCTTGCTAGCATAATGTTAGCTCTCTGGCTCGTTACTGAGCTGAAGGGCTCTATAAGCGGAGGGAACTAGAAATATGATTGCATCACCTTATGGGATGGCAATGCTTGTCCCTTGTATTAGTCATGCTCCCCACATTTTGCCCCCAATGTCAATTCCACCTGGCTACATGTTATCTGTTGAACTGATGTACTTTATAGCAGAATCCATAGCGATAATAATACTTATCCTCACTTGGGTGGTACAGGGTTCAGTGGCCTACATTCCCCAGCAGGCCTGGATCCAAAACGCCTCTCTAAAAGACAACATTTTGTTTGGGGGAGAGAGGAAGGAGAGCTGGTACCATCGTGTGCTGGAAGCCTGCGCTCTGCTGCAAGACCTGGATATCCTACCTGCTGGAGACAGCACTGAGATTGGGGAGAAGGTATAAATACTTCCCCCCTCAGGGGTTAGATTGCATCTGAAGGAAATGTAAACGCTGTCTGTCTGATCACAGGAGGACTGATGTGCTCTGAGTGTTTATAGTTGGCTGTTTGTCACCCTGACTGTTTATTGTTGACTGTTCATTGCTCTGACTGTTTATTGTTGACTATATGACTTCTGTTTTTGTTTACTGATTATGCATTTACTGACTGAGGTAGGGTCTGAATCTGTCTGGAGGTCAGAAGCAGAGAGTGAGTCTGGCTCGGGCCGTCTACAGAAAATCAGATGTTTACTTGCTGGATGACCCGCTGTCGGCTGTTGATGCTCACGTGGGGCAACACATCTTCGAGCGAGTCATTGGACCCAGAGGACTCCTTAAAGACAAGGTAAGAACTTGTACCTGCTCCACCTGTATCCAGCGGGTTGCCATGGACATTGTTGGTCCTTTGGTGAAGAAGACTGAGTTTCTCTATAGGCCAAAGGAGTAATAGCCTAAACTGGATGTGGATCTTGATGTGATTCCTGCAGATGACCCAGTGTCACCAGCCCCCTAATATATTATTTTTCATCTTGGATGAAACTGAGAACATCTGTGGCTATGTTTTTGAAGATCAAGGAAATTGTAATGTTGTTGAAGAGAAAGCAGTTTTGTGCTTCTGCAAGCCTCCTTAAGGACAATCTAGAGACTCAAGCACATGAAGTGGAAAGAAAGATTCAGACGTTTAAAGTCACATTCAAAGGCCAAAGTCCTAATGATCTTGCTAAGGCAAAGCAGTCAATAATTCAGTATGTACAATGACACAAGTTATAGCTGAAATTGCCTCAATGAAGAGTGACATTAATTATTAATTATAAATATTGTATAAATGCAGTGTGGAGGCTTATCTGCAGATGGGTTCCAGTGTCATCTATCAGGTCTCATAACGGCATTACCTTTGTTGGAGCCAATCGTGAGCTGAAATAAAGTCTGGCTGGTCTAAGTCATGGCAAAATTGGACTTTGGTCAATAATGGCATAACATTGAACTTGAACACACCAGCAGCTTCTCATCAGGGTGTTGTTTGGGAGCACCTGATTTGTTCGGTAAAAAATACAATTAATTCAATTAATTATGATTTTTATCCACAATTAAATGGAGGACTGAAAGTGCCACAATTAAATAAAAAATACACCATTAAATAATTACTTAAATGTGTCATTAATTAATTAAAATTGGAATGAAATACATAAATGTGATATTAAATGTGTCATTAATTAATTCAAATACCGATTCATTTAATGAAAAATACATATATAAATATTTCACTATTTACATTTACATTTCATGGTCCTGCGTTGCAGTGCTTCATGAATTACTTAAAACTGTCAAAGCCAGCCATCAAACTCAGTGGGTGGGGCCAACGCGGATCTAGCCTGATCCATTGCTTTGGTCTGAAGTAGAGTGCCTGGAAGATCTTCATGAACTTTCTAGGGCAGAGGTCGCTAACAGGCGAGTCTGGACCCAGACACCGTCCTATGCGGACCCAGACCTATAATCAATTAATTATTGAGGATTCTAAATTTTGATGGGGAGCTTCTATTTTAACCAGCACAGCTTTTTTAGTCTTTACAGTATTTGTTTAGCAGATCAGGAAGCTCACAGACCAATCGCACGCTAGTTAAGCCATCCCACGTGATGCTGCTCAGCCAATCAAATCTGTTTAAACAGCGCGAATGAATACAGAGATGAGAGCGATGAGAGAGGAGAGACAGACGGAAAGAGAAGTCACAGATACATGGAGAGGAAACGGAGAGATGAGTGAGCGCGAGACAACAGAAGATTTATGGCGCTCTCTAAGAAGAGAAAAGTGGATAGAAAATCGAGCTTTTAATGGACAGATTCATTCACATTCATTCTTCCCACTGGGAGCACATAACCAGTGTGTCTCATATGTTCAGAGACCGCGGCGCTGATTAAAAGTGCCAGTGTGAAACGCCACTATGAGACAAAACACAAAGTTTTCATCAAACATACCCACTCAAGTCTGAACAAGGTCACAGAAAATAAGCAGGCTCAGATCCCAATATGATCACTCAACCAGTATCCTGACCAGTGTTGGGAGTAACGGCGTTTAAGTATAACGGCGTTACTAGCGGTGTTATTTTTTCAGTAACGGAGTAATCTAATTAAGTACTTTTCCCATCGCTGCAACGCCGTTACCGTTACTGAGAATGTAAAGTGGCGCGTTACTTGCGTTCCTACAATGTGGTGAATGAAGTGCAGCGGTGTCAGGCTTTCTGACAGCCAATTAAATTTTTCAATTCAATTTTATTTGTATAGCGCCAATTCATAACAGAAGTTATCTCAGGACACTTTTCAAATAGAGCAGGTCTAGACCGAACTCTTTAACATTAATTATAGAGACCCAACAGTACCACCATGAGCAAGCACTTGGCGACAAGGGCAAGGAAAAACTGCCTGTTAAAAGGCAGAAACCTAGGACAGATCCTCCGGCTCTAGGTGGGTGGTCGTCTGTCTCGACCAGTTGGGGTGAGAGAGAGAGAGAGAGAGAGAGCGAGAGACAGACAGACAGACAGGTGCACAGCAACAACAGTATTGGCAATGGCAGTCAAGCAGGACCATGGCAGGAGGCTCCACCAGGATCCATGAGAACCTGCGAGACGAGAAAGCACAAGAACTCCGGGGAAGAAGTGGAGTTAGTAACATGCATTAATGGGACATGAATGAGTGCATAAAGAGAGAGGAAGGGAGGAGCTCAGTGCACCATGGGAAATCCCCCGATAGTCTAGGCCTATAGCAGCATAAGTAAGGGATGGTTCAGGACTCACCTGATCCAGCCCTAACTATAAGCTTTATCAAAGAGGAATGTCTTAAGCCTACTCTTGAATGTGGTGAGGGTGTCTGCCTCCCAAACCACAACTGGAAGCTGGTTCCACAGGAGAGGAGCTTGGTAACTGAAGGCTCTGGCTCCTGTTCTACTTTTAATTCAATTCAATTTTTTATTTGTATAGCGCCAATTCATAACAGAAGTTTTAGAGACTATAGGAACCACAAGTAGCCCAGCATTCAGAGAACGTAGTGTTCTAGTGGGGTAATAGGGTACTATGAGCTCTTTAAGATATGAAGGGGCCTGACCATGAAGAGCTTTATAGGTGAGTGAATTTTAAATTCAATTCTACATTTTACAGGGAGCCAATGCAGAGAAGCTAGTACAGGAGAGATGTGATCTCTTTTTCTAGTTCCTGTCAGTACTCGTGCTGCAGCGTTCTGAATTAATTGGAGCGTTTTAATGGACTTATTGGGACAACCTGATAATAAAGAGTTGCAGTAATCCAGCCTTGAAGTAACAAATGCATGGATTAGTTTTTCTGCATCTGTCTGTGATAGGATGTGTCTAATTTTTCCAATATTACGTAAATGAAAGAAGGCGGTCCTAGAGGTCTGCTTTATGTGGGAGTTAAATGACAAATCCTGATCAAAGATAACTCCAAGATTCCTGACAGTGGTGCTAGAGGCCAAGTTAATGCCATCTAGAGTGACTATATCTTTAGACAATGAGTCTCTAAGGTTTTTGGGGCCAAGAACAAGAATTTCGTTTTTTTCTGAGTTTAACATGAGAAAATTGCAGGTCATCCAGGATTTTATGTCCGTAAGACATGTTTGTAATTTAGATAATTGATTAATTTCATTGGGTTTGATTGATAGATATAACTGCGTATCATCTGCATAACAGTGAAAGTTAATGGAGTGATTCCTAATAATGTTGCCTAAAGGGAGCATATATAAAGTAAATAGTATTGGTCCAAGTACAGAACCTTGTGGAACTCCATGACTAACTGTAGTATTTATTGAAGATTCATCGTTAACATGTACAAACTGCGAGCGATCTGATAAATATGACTTAAACCAGCTTAGTGCGGTTCCTTTAATTCAAAGGTTCAATTTGATGCTCAAGTCTCCCCAAAAGAATATTATGGTCAATGGTGTCAAATGCAGCACTAAGATCTAATAATACAAGTACAGAGACAAGTCCATTGTCAGAAGCAGTCAGAAGGTCATTATTAACTTTAACCAGAGCTGTCTCTGTGCTATGATGAACTCTAAATCCTGACTGAAAATCCTCAAATAAACTATTGTTATGTAGAAAGTCACACAACTCTTTGGCGACTACTTTCTCCAGAATCTTAGAGAGGAAGGGGAGGTTAGAAATCGGTCTATAGTTGGCTAAAACCCCTGGGTCAAGAGTGGACTTTTTAAGAAGGGGTTTAATTACAGCTACTTTAAAGGACTGTGGTACATATCCTGATAATAAAGAAAGATTAATCATATCCAGTAAAGAAGTGCCAATTAAGGGAACAACTTCTTTAAGCAGCCTAGTTGGGATCGGGTCTAATAGACAGGTTGATGGCTTCGATGAAGAAATGATTGAAGTTAACTGATGAAGATCGATAGCAGAAAAACAGTCTAAATATATATCTAAGTTTACATTGACAGAAGTCCCTGAACTTGGAGAGCCACTGATAACTGTTGATGGCAGTTGGTGATAAATTATTTCTCTAATAGTAATAATTTTAGAAGAAGCTCATGAAGTCATTGCTACTTAAGTTTATGGGGATATGTGGCTCAATAGAGCTGTGACTCTCTGTCAGCCTGGCTACAGTGCTGAAGAGGAACCTAGGGTTGTTCTTATTTTCTTCTATTAGTGCTGAGTAATAGGCTCCACACATCAGCTGCCGGGAGAGGGCAGGGTGGTGATGATGACACCGTTGCAAATGCGATGATGATTGGCTGGGTGGGCGGATGCCAAGACAGAGACAATGGCGACGAGCTAGGGAAATTCAAAGGTAGCAATATCAAACTGGAAGTACCGACACTACTACTCGCTTACTGAAGTTAAAGGCAAGAATGTTTATGTAACGTGTGAATTTTATTTTCAATATTTATTTTTTATATATTTTTATTTCTATGCATATGGCCGGCTGTAATATATTGAGTTCAAATAAATACCAAATGTTCTAAAATACTGTATATAGTGTTTTATTCTTTATTCAGTGATTATAAACATCTTTAACGTTATAGAAGATGTTATAAAATGTAATTATAGACCATAAAAAATAACATCACAGTTACTTTGCTGAGTAACTAATTACTTTTACAATGTGATAACTGAGTTACTATCTCAGTTACTTTTTGGGATAAGTAATTTGTAACTATAACTAATTACTTTTTTAAAGTAAGATGACCAACACTGATCCTGACCCATTCATTCACTGCCCAACGAGGAAGAGAGGTTAGAGCTCAATTCTCTCACTGAACAACAGAAAGTGTATAGAAAGATATAAAAGGGAAAGAAAGAGAAACTGTTCAATTGTAAAGATGTGTTGATATTCATTTATAAAATTTGTTGAGACTGTTAATCAAGATATGAAACAGTTAACAAAGAAAAAGGGAAACTCAAGCTGCTGCTACACTTTATTTTTCAAAGTTAAACACTTTATTTTATTTTTTAGACTTAGCAGAGGATGTGGAAGCAGGAGCTGCTGACCCAGAGCATGTAGCGAGTAAAGCAGAGGAACTTATTGAAGTTCTTGGAGTTATTTCCGCACTTTCTGACCAAGATATTGACCACAGAGTGACTGCAGATTTAGAAGAAGTAGTCCAATAGCGCCACCCAGTGTATTGGAATGTGTTCACTAGCTCTGCATCGATCCATTATCTGGAATTGATTTGTCTTGGCTTGATGGGCAGGGTAACCAATGAGGCGTTAGGTTAGGTCAATTTTATTTGTATAGCGCCAATTCATAACAGAAGTTATCTCAGGACACTTTTCAAATAGAGCAGGTCTAGACCGAAAATATATGTATTTTACATTAAAAGAATCGGTATTTGAATTAATTAATGACACATTTAATATCATATTTATGTATTTAATTCCAATTTTAATAATTAATGACTTATTTAATGGTGTATTTATTTATTTAATTGTGGCACTTTCAGTCCTCCATACAATTAGGGGCAATACAATTTGTATATTGGGTAACACTTGGGCACCTGAGGTTATATGAAGAAATAAACCTTTACGAAATACAGGAAGTTTGAATGGACAATGGACTTCTTTTGCCTGCATACATTACAGGCCCATGGTGCAGCAGGGACCCATTTGATTCTGAGTTTGTTTTGATTCTTTGACAAATGGCCACTACAACCAGGTTTAGGTAGTATCAAAATAGCGAAGAGGTGTTGGTTCTTCAGTTGCACCTTTTAATTCAGTAAATCAGATTGTTCAGTTTGAATCACACAACAGAGTTTGCTTTGGTCACATTTAAATTGTCTGAAGTCATACTGGGAGAGTCACATAGAAGCATTGTTAATATCAGTTAGTAGTCAGTAGTATTGATGGAGGCCCCTGAAGTTGGTCTTTGCAGACCAGCTGTTGTACTTGGGGTCCTTTTACTGTCATTTTTAGACTCTTCCTATGCCTGTTGGACGAGGTAACCTGCCTATTAACCTAGCAGCATCTGAACACAAAAACCATCTCACACATGTTGGGCCTATTAGTGGAGTAAAACACAAGCTGGGGGAAATCATGGGTCAACCTCTTTTTAAATGTATTTTGCCTGTAACATGTAACAGTGATCAACACAAATTATACACTGATCAGCCATAACAGCCTGAGCACTGACAGTTGAAGTGAATGATTATCTGGTTATCATGGCTCCTGTCAGTGGGTGGGATATATTTGGCAGCTAGTGATCTTTTTGTCCTCAAAGTTGGTGTGTTTGAACCGAGATAAACCTAATGATGTGGTTACTACTATGTATCAGTAAAAATCCATGTTCAGCTGACTTCAAAATGGACTTGGAGGCACACTACAGGTTATGAAATACTGTAACTCTGTGTAAAAGGAATCATTGTGTTTGTCTCTGTAGCAAACTGGCCTATAAATAAAAAAGGAGGGGGGTATTTCTTTTCCAATACAATCCAATCCAACTTTATTTGTTAAGCACTTTAAAACAACCAAAGTTGACCAAAGTGCTGTACAGAAGAATAAATAAGACATCATAAATAAAAGACATAACAGCTCACATGAGGCACAAAATTACAACAATAAATTAAAAAATTTTTTATGCAAAACAGTTTTGATCTCACTCTGACTGTATGATAAATATTAAATAAAGAATGGAATTGTACTTATAAGTTAGCCATGGTAAGAAAAATATCAAATCTAACTTCAAATGTGTTTTTTTCCCTTTTACTTACCTGCTGTCAATGTTTCAGCCTGTGAGAGATGGTCCTTCTGGAATGTGTCCATCTTTGAGAACACTGTAAAAATCTATTTCTATACAATGTTTGCTTTTTATGTTATTCTCTGACTCTCAGTCTGACTCTCAGTCTGACAGTCACCATTGGACACTATTTCTGAATATATTCTGTTGCCTCTTCTTTTTTATGGTTGCGGGATGCATAGAGCCCTTCTTATAATCCCATTAACGCACTTTTGAAGAAGGCTTTGCCATAATTTTCTCTTCTTTGCTGCCTCCATGCATGCATCCACCTCATTAGTCCAAAGAGAAGAAATTGTTGATTGTTCCATGAATCCTCATCACTCATGATCAAAATATGATTATGTGAGTTTTTTAAAACTGCAGGATGACAGTGTAGAAAAATGGCTTCACCTTACTGCCTACCAGTTTGCAACTAATACATCCCCCTCAGAGCTCTGACCAACAAGGACCAGAAGAACCTTGTCACCAGACTTAGGAGCTTACAGCCATCTGGATCGTTAAATCCTGAATGAATTATTATGTTGTCCAGGCTTCAGCACCAGCAGCAAATTCTTCATCCGGACCTAAATCCCATTTCAATTTTATAACGTGTGTATTGTTGTTAAATTTCGTAATGTGTGTTGTTGTGATTGAAACTTTGTTAAACATCTATAAAAAGTCTTCTGCAAACCCTGCACCCCGTCTCATAGTGTGCTGATATGTTTTTTTAGACCCGGGTGTTGGTAACTCACGGGCTCAGCTTCCTGTCCAAAGCAGACCTGGTCCTGGTGATGGAGCAGGGTCAAATCTCTGAGATGGGTTCCTACATGGAGCTGATGGACAGGAAGGGAGCCTTCGCCAAATTTATTCACACCTTCAATGGAAACCAGCGCAGAGAAAGCTCCACCCCCAGAGACAAGAGTAAGACAGTTAATTTAACAGCAATGTTGGGCTAGTAATACAAAAACTGGAATTTATTACTAGTTACTCTTTTCAAAAGTATTAGTACTGTAAAATTATTATTAGTAATGCCTTACTGCCTAAATTATTGTCAGAATTAAACTATAATTAACTAAAGTAACTAGAGATAATCAACTGTTATCAGTTGAAAGTGTGGGCCATCTGTGAGATTTCTAACAGTCAAAATATCAGTAGAGTGAAAACGTTTAAATTCGAATTTCTTTATTAATGTAGATGCAGCAGAATTAAACTGCAGTCTGATTTAGATTTAGATTGCTTATCCTGTGTTATGTGTGTGCATTTATATGTCTATATTAATATATATTCATGTATATTTGTGTTTGCAGGCAGCAGGAAGTCAGTGTCTCGTCTCAGTATGACTGATTTCTCCATTGATCTTTCTCAGGAGCAGCTGATTAGGTAGAGAAACTACAAGTGTAAACGAATCCTAAACACAAAAACACATTCAAATAATAAAAAAAAAACACAACAGTAAATTAAATAAAGTACATTTGCATAATATTACATTCAGGACCTCCAACGTCCTGAAACCATTATGATCACATTATTGATCTATGAGCTCATTGTTTGTGTGTGTGTATGTCTTCCAGCTGTGATATGAGTAGTGCAAGTGTTCAGGTGATGAAAGCTGTCAATCAAGACTTGGACACTGAGGATGCTGGAAAACTTACAGAGGCCGACAAAGCTCACACGGGCAGGGTAGATCCTTCTTTGAACGTATTAACTACATTTATATGTACCACATAAGCTCTGGAACAGAATAGAAACTAAAATCAGAAACTTAATCCATGATGTTAAGAAGCAAACTAATTAATTAATCTCAGGGACTGAGAATTGAAACTTTATGATTCTTTTTTTCTGATTATTATTATTATTATTATGTTTCCACGTGATCTGAATTTGACAGCTCTTAAGATGCAGTTATGATGCAAAGAAACAACCACACAAACTCACGCTTTTTATTGACTGTAGAGCTTAAAACTTAAACAGATGTAATAAATGGATGAAAATGAGACTGAACACTGCAGAACATGCAGTATCTTTGTGAGATTAACAATGTCATTCTTCTGTTCTCAGGTAAAGCTGCAGATGTATAGAGAGTACTTCAGGACTGTCGGCCTGACGTTCATCATGACCATCATCTTCCTTTGTGCCTTCCAGCAGGCCGCCTCATTGGCCTACAACTATTGGCTGAGCCTCTGGGCTGACGAGCAACCGATCAATGGCACACAGAGTGACCATGAGCTGAAGCTGAGCGTGTTTGCAGCTCTTGGCTTCACTCAGGGTGGGTCAAAGGTCATTACGCACCACATAATAATGAGAGACAGACAGACAAACAGACAGATGGGTGAATGGATAGATAGTTTTACAAGAAAAACTTCAATTCAATTCTATTTCATTTGTATAGCGCCAATTCATAACAAAAGTTATCTCAGGACACTTTTCAAATAGAGCAACCTTCCAATTAGTGGACAACCCGCTCTACCTCTGCGCTTGTATAAATGAGTCACTAAGTGTCAATATTCTTTTAAAATTAAACTACCAGAAAATTACCTACCTTCTTAGCAGTTCGCTTCTCAGAGTTTCTATAAATTTTTTTATATTTATTGTTTCCTGCCACCTGGGTCATTTGATTGATAGATATGTACTTTATGAAACCCCTATTGGGGAAGTTGTTCATGCTTCTCCGGTTCCCAAGCCAAGTCCCTACAGATTGAGCTACTGCCGCCCAAGCTAATAATATGATGATAATAGCTGACATGAGTGACTGAAATAGCAGACTGAATGAGAGGGAAATAATGGTTGCTTTTACATTTATCCATTACAGCCTAAATTGTCTGTAGATGTTTATTGTTGTGTCTGTGATCATGTGCTGTTCTGCAGCAGTTTTTTATTTTCAGTTGGTCAAGGCAGACGGCCACCCACCCATAGCCGGAGTCTGTCCGAGGTCTCTGCCTCTTCAAAGGAAGTTTTTCCTTGCGTCGCCAAGGTCTTGCTCATAGTTGGGAACTGTTGGGTCTCTGTAAATAATATTATAAGGAGTATGGTCTAGACCTGCTCTGTTTGTGTCTGAGATAACATTTGTAATGAATTGGTCACTATACACATAAAATTGAAATGAAATTGAATTGAACTTTATCTTCTGTATTTCAGGTATGGCTATGTTTGGTACAACACTCGCCATCGCGCTCGGTGGTATCGTTGCGTCGCATCACCTTCATGCTGGTCTTCTCCTCAGTGTCTTGCACTCACCCATGTCCTTCTTCGAGGTGACACCCAGCGGAAACCTCCTGAACCGCTTCTCCAAAGAGATTGATGCCATCGACTGCATGATTCCTGATGGGCTGAAGATGATGTTGGGCTACCTGTTCAAGCTGTTGGAGGTCTGCATCATTTTGTTGTTGGCCACGCCCTTCACAGCACTGGTGCTCCTCCCTCTCACTTGTGTCTACATCTTCATACAGGTAAAGGTTTATCCTGAATATTATCTGGACATCACTGAGTTTAAGCTGAAGCTTATTGTTAATATCAGTGTATGTTTCTGGTCTCCAGAGTTTCTATGTGGCCTCATCGTGTCAGCTACGACGACTGGAAGCGGTCAGTCGCTCGCCAATCTACAGCCACTTTAATGAGACCATGCAGGGCACTAACGTCATCCGAGCCTTTGGTGAACAGCGCCGCTTTGTCCTGCAGGCTGACCGTCGCATTGACAACAACCAGGAAGCTTATTTTCCTCGCTTTGTCGCCACCAGGTTCATGCAAGATATTGCTATGATGTTTAACAGTATTAGAGTATTTTACTTATTATTATATTACATTTGTGCTGATGTTTCTATATTGTAGTTTTGAATGTGGTTGTATTGTACATGTTGTAAAGGATATTAATCACTTGGGTGGTTTCTCCTGAATAGTACCAATAATTTACTCTCATGACAGCATTGTAATGATATTTTGTATGCATTTTAGTATTTGATTGATGCAGATACTTAGTTTTTTATTGAATGTGTTTTTTATCAGATGGCTGGCAGTGAATCTGGAGTTTTTGGGGAATCTGTTGGTTTTGGCTGCAGCCATCTTGTCGGTGCGAGGTCGAAATGAACTCACTCCGGGCATTGTGGGATTGGCAGTGTCACATTCTCTCCAGGTTAAAAACTGTACCTCTGTTAACTGAACAGTTTTTTGTCTCAGGTTCACACTGCAGCACAGAATGGCTTGCAGATAGGTCACATTGTCACATTCCCCAGGTTCATCTCATCTGCCTTTCCTGGGGCTCCAGGTCAACCCAGTATTTGTACGTTAAAACATCAGAGTCACACAACACAACCAAAGTAATGGAGGCAGCAGTACAAGAGCAACTCCCATGTTCTAGAGGTAAAACTTTTGTAGCTTTGAAAAGAACATAGATGATATGACGTGTTCAGTTTCCCCTGACAAAAATCATCATCATTGTCCTCATATAGTACAGGGAGATGAGAAACAAACACTCAACAAGTTCACTGTGAGTTGTGACATCTGTTCCTTACAATGTGATTGGTTGATGCCTTTATTTGTGCTGTGAGAGCTCAGAAAATACACTTCCATCCCAAAAAAAAGGTAATTTCCTTGTTGCGTAATATTCATTTTCTGCGTGAAAATACTCAACAAAAACATATTAATTTGTGAATTAACCATCTGAAAAAAATACACCCTGTGTAAAGGCCTTTAAACATGAACTTTTAGCAATTGAAACAAAGAATGCTTCAGACGAATGACAAATTTTTTTTTTTGGTAGGTGACAGGAATCCTGAGCTGGATTGTCCGATCATGGACTGATGTGGAGAACAACATTGTGTCAGTGGAAAGAGTCAAAGAGTACGACAACACACCAAAAGAGGTAAGCTGCTGTATAATAGGACCTGGTTTAAATGGAAACTGTAATCTTACAGTCCAACATCTTTGAGACTCCGCATTTAAGCCAGAAATGCTTAGTAACAGTACTGGAGTAAAGAAATGCTATATTATTGTTCTGCTGTTTCTTTTGTATCCTCACAGTGATTGTAGTGTTTATTTTTTCTAATGAACTTACTGATTGTGGAGCTGTCGGTGTTGATCATACAGCCCTCCTGACCTGCCTAATGTGTCTCACCAGGCAGTGTGGACCCTCGAGGGCAGCTTGCTGCCAGCAGCCTGGCCGACCTCTGGAAACATCCAGTTTGAAGACTACGGACTGCAGTACCGTAAAGGTTTGGACTGGGCTTTAAACAACATCTCCATTGACATCCAGGACAGGGAAAAGGTCAGTCAGAAAGACTTTATTATTCATCCCAAGGCAATGGCAATATGTCAGGAAATAGCACACACTGTAAAAATATGTGGAGTTGAATTTTTTTTTCAGTTTTCAGTTATACTTCTTTGACTTGAGTTATGACTTTATCATGTGAAATAAATCTTATATAACATGAATAACTATTGATCATAATAATGAAATCGCAGGTGGGGATTGTTGGAAGGACGGGGGCTGGGAAGTCTTCTCTGGCTTTGGGAATTTTTCGGATTCTGGAGGCAGCGAAGGGACAAATCTCTATTGACGGGATCAACATTGCTCAGATTGGCCTTCATGATCTTCGCTCCAGAATCACCATTATCCCTCAGGTCAGTGCTGTAAATACTGCAGTATAAGTACTTCAAAACATTGCAAATAGTTCAGTACAAATGCTGTAGTACAAATACTTTATCAATGGGATTAACAAAACCTTGATCGGCTATTATGATACCTCCAGAATTACCATCATTCCTCAGTACTACAGTATATCATTAGAAGTGACAAATACACTTTCATATAGTTACTACAGTATACAGTGAGTACTTCACGTAGTAGAAAGCACAACATAGATACAATCCTCAAAGAGAGGGTTAGGGTTAGGGGTTCTGAATATCTGAAATGTTTGTTATCATATGTCACTGCACAACACAATATTTATGATAATTTATGGGAATTTTTTTTATCATACTTGATTTCACAGTAGCAATGAGCCTTATTTATTATAGGGCGGCTGTGGCTCAGAGGCAGAGTGGGTCGTTCCTTAATCGGAAGGTTGAGGGTTCGATCCGCGGCTTGAGCAAGATACTGAACCCCAAATTGCTCCCGTTGCCGTGCATCGGTGTGTGAATGTGTATGAATGTTAGTTTCTGTTCGATGGACTTTGCCATCACTGAGTGAATATGTGTGAAAGGGTGAATGTGGCACGTAGTGTAAAAGCGCTTTGAGTGGTCGGAAGACTAGAAAGGCGATATACAAGTACAGGTCCATTTACCATTTATTTTGTTTCAAATTAGACCAAAACTACTCTCTAATTAGCAGAGATGCTCGCAAGTCAAGTCTGAAGTCTTTGAGGGGCAAGTCCGAGTCAAGTCTCAAGGTCTTATGATTGCAATGATTGTTTTATCATCTCATGCATATCCGGTCTGCTTAGAACACTGCATAGCTATATATAAGGAATTCAAAGCATGTACCACTATATCATCATCACTCCTTTTTCTATTAGCTTACAATATCAGCATTGACTTGTTATTAGGTATATGATCTATTGCAAGATATATGATAAAAATACATAATGAAAAGAAGTTGATATAGACTATGCTTACTCAGGAATACATTCCCAACATTATTAAGCATGCAAAATAACTCTAATATATTTTTCAATAACAGAGTACAACCATATTGTATAATTACAGTGGGTGTCCAACTAATGACAGTTTATAATGTACTGTAATTTAATTCATCATCCTAGCCTCTCAAACCCAGTGTAATGGTAATCTTGTCAACCTGTTACATTGTTTGGTTAACATTAAACTTGTAATCTTCCTGTAGCCTCAATTAGTAACTTGCTTGGTCTTAGTCTGACAGCCTGATTTTTATAACACAAATAACTATTTAAACAAAAACTGCGAGCTTTTCAGTCCACATCTTTTATTAAATATGATGTTTTCTAAAGGCTAGGAGGTACTAAAATAAATCACAAGATTTCTGAGCATTTATAAAAGGCTTTAAAGTGACCTCTGACCTTCCATTACCAGGACCCAGTGTTGTTTTCTGGTTCTCTGAGGATGAACCTAGACCCTTTTGATACCTGTTCAGATGAGGATCTGTGGAAAGCTCTGGAACTGGCTCATCTCAGCAGCTTCGTGTTGGCACTGCCACAGAAACTGAACCATCAGTGCTGTGAAGGAGGAGAGAACCTCAGGTAGATCCACCTGTAGTCAGCCTGCCATTGGCTGACTATTTTACTACATCACTATATCCTGGGCTTAGAACCGCACAAGACATTTGTGCCATACAAGAGGCAACATCAAAGATTAATCCATCCATGATTTATGATTACCTGACAAAGGGAGTGCTGTATACTAATGGAATCATTTTTAAACCATTTAATTTTTAAATGCTTCAGAAACAGGAGCTTAAAGAAGAGCTTAATATATATAATAAAATACATTTACCCGATATTCAATCTTCATTAAAGTACTTGTGCTGATCAGAGGTTGATATTCAATTCAATTCAATTTTATTTGTATAGCGCCAATTCATAACAGAAGTTATCTCAGGACACTTTTCAAATAGAGCAGGTCTAGACCGAACTCTTTATAACATTATTTACAGAGACCCAACAGTACCACCATGAGCAAGCACTTGGCGACAAGGGCAAGGAAAAACTGCCTGTTAAAAGGCAGAAACCTAGGACAGATCCTTCGGCTCTAGGTGGGTGGTCGTCTGTCTCGACCAGTTGGTGAGACAGGTGCACAGCAACAACAGTATTGGCAATGGCAATCTAACAGGACCATGGCAGGAGGCTCCACCAGGATCGATAAGAACCTACGAGTCGAGAAAGCACAAGAACTCCGGGGAAGAAGTGAAGTTAGTAACATGCATTAATGGAACATGAATGAGTGCAGAAAGAGAGAGGAAGAGAGGAGCTCAGTGCACCATGGGAAATCCCCCAATAGTCTAGGCCTATAACAGCATAACTAAGGGTTCAGGACTCCTGATCCAGCCCTAACTATAAGCTTTATCAAAGAGGAACGTCTTAAGCCTACTCTTGAATGTGGTGAGGGTGTCTGCCTCCCAAACCACAACTGGAAGCTGATTCCACAGGAGAGGAGCTTGGTAACTGAAGGCTCTGGCTCCTGTTCTACTTTTAGAGACTATAGGAACCACAAGTAGCCCAGCATTCAGAGAACGTAGTGTTCTAGAGGGGTAATAGGGTACTATGAGCTCTTTAAGATATGAAGGGGCCTGACCATGAAGAGCTTTATAGGTGAGGAGGAGGATTTTAAATTCTATTGTACATTTTACAGGGAGCCAGTGCAGAGAAGCTAGTACAGGAGAGATGTGATCTCTTTTTCTAGTTCCTGTCAGTACTTGTGCTGCAGCGTTCTGAATTGGAGCGTTTTAATGGACTTATTGGGGCAACCTGATAACAAAAAGTTGCAGTAATCCAGCCTTGAAGTAACAAACGCATGGATTAGTTTTTCTGCATCTGTCGTGATAGTATGTGTCTAATTTTTGTAATATTACGTAAATGAAAGAAGGCAGTCCTGGAGGTTTGCTTTATGTGGGAGTTAAATGACAAATCCTGTTCAAACACAACTCCACGATTCCTGACAGTGGTGCTAGAGGCCAAGGTAATGCCATCTAGAGTAACTGTATCTTTAGACAGTGAGTCTCTAAGGTTTTTGGGGCCAAGAACAAGATGATGATGAAGTGAATTTCTTGGGTTTTTTTTTTTTTTTTTTTTGCAGTCTTTTTAACAATCTCAAACCTGCCAATTAGTTAGGGTTCTATTTATTAGGGTTGTTTACATGAATAAAAGTTTCTTTCCATGATTGTATCATTTCATCTATATCCATATCAATATGAAGCACATTATGAAGTGTAATCAATTTTTCTGAAGTCTTGGTCAGAGGCAGCTGCTGTGTTTGGCCAGAGCTCTACTGAGGAAGACAAGGATCTTGGTTTTGGATGAAGCCACAGCAGCTGTGGACCTGAAGACGGACCAGCTGATCCAGTCAACCATTCGTGCTCAGTTTGATGACTGTACAGTCCTAACCATTGCTCACCGCCTCAACACCATCATGGACTACACTAGGTACTACCAATACTGCTTTACTGTAATATTGTCATGGTTATTAATATTCTGTTTTGCAATGCTCAGATAGTTATTAAAAATGTAAGTGGTACGTGCATTCATTTTCATATTTATCTTGTATATCTAACTCGTGTTCTTACCTCTGTGACTTTTTATCTCTCTAAACAAAGTTGTCTCATTTTGTTATCTCTTGGTCCTCAGGATAATAGTGATGGACCACGGCACAATTGCAGAGATGGACTCCCCCTCTCAGCTCATACGCCTGCAGGGTAAATTCTATCAGATGTGCCTTGAGGCTGGTCTGGTTTGATATCATTTTTTTGTTTGACTTTTTCCCAATATATTAAAAAAATGTTGTCTGTAAAATCTATTGAAAATGTCCAGGAAATGTGTTTTAAATTTTAAGAATAAATTGTTAATTTTATTGTAGCATGGAAATTCATTACACCATAAACTATAAACTCAACCTTCTTATATTTAGACAAGCCTCTATATGGTACAAGCCTTTAATTCCTTTTGTTCATCAAAGATGGGAAACCAGTATGAATATTATTTCTATTGAATAACATGTAAATTATGAGTCATTCTTTTGATTGTTTATTAATGTAAAATGAAGTGAAGGATGTAATTGTGATACTGATAACTGATAACTAACTAGATCTCACTGATATAACAATGTGAAGCATGTCCATATTAAAAATAAATTATATTTGTGTAGGTGATCTAAGCAGGGGCCTTTATTTATAATAACTCACCCAGATTTTTATTGACGTTTTATAAAATAAATGACATTTGGTTCAACTATGGCAATACTAATTCACAAAGTATGCATGTATTCCGTTATTTGACCATATATCACTGTCAAATACATAAAAATACTGTTAATAATTAAAAATGTCTGATTGCAATAAAATAACTAATGGAAAAAAAAAGTTTTGTCATTCTGCATCACTTAACCAAAAGGAGTAAGAGGGTTATGATAGGGGAACTGAACTCGACCCCCCACATTTCGGGGGTGGGATGCAATTATTTATTTATTCATGTATTTATTCATGTATTTATTATATATAATTATATATTATATAATTTATAAATTAATAAATCCCAAATGAACTAAAATAAGATGAAATCAAAAATGAAAAAACGTTTTTAACTTAAATATTTTTAAATTTAAATTATTATTTATGTGTGTCTTGTGTGCAATGTTTCGACCGTATAGGTCAGGCAAAGGCACACAAACTGAAAAAACATTGCTTGTGTGACTGGCAGAGCTGCTGTCTGTTCTGTGGTCAGAGCAAGAATGAGACTGGAATACCATCACCCTCCCTTGTATACCCGCCCCTCAACATCAGCTACAACTTGGTTACCAAAATAAAAGCTGTGTTTTTAACTCAATTGATGTTATGAGTTCCAGTTTAAATGAATAGGGATAATAGCCAGGATGATACCTCGGAGGTTGATACCTGGGTGAATAACTTTGTCTGTATTTGTGCTAGAGTGATGGAACCAGTGTCTATCCCCCCATTATTGACTATGTCCTTTCTATTGGTCCCAGTCTCAAGTTGGTGGGACCTGTCGTTCAAAATAGGCCATTTAGAAGATTGAAAAGTTGGTATCTCCGCAACCGAAAGTCATAAAGATCAGGGAAACCTCTGGCTGGATTACTGTAATGCACTTTATATGGGGGTTAGTGGGTCCTCCATTTCTCGTCTTCAACTGGTACAAAATGCTGCTGCACGTCTTTTAACTGGCACACGCAAGTATGAGCACATTTCACCTATTTTAGCTTCACTCCACTGGTTGCCCGTCCATTTTAGGATTCATTTTAAAATTCTTTTATTTGCTTTTAAAGCTTTGAATGGCCTTGCCCCTTCTTACCTCTCTGAGCTGCTGCACCCCTACACTCCCAGCCGATCTCTCAGGTCAGCTGACCAGCTGCTCCTGACAGTGCCTAAAGCTAGGCTTAAGCTCAGAGGGGAACGAGCGTTTGCCGTTGCAGCTCCAAAAGTTTGGAATGGATTGCCGCTGCACATTCGACAGGCCACCTCTCTGTCTCATTTTAAAACTCTTCTTAAAACCCACCTCTTTTCTTCGGCTTTTGATACCATGTAGAGCGTTGATTCTATGTGTATACATGCATATTTTTATCTTGTGTGGGCAGTGCTTTTTATTTATTTCTGTTATTTATTTTATTTTATTTTATTGCTTTTATCTTTTATTGTGTATCTTCGATTGTGTTATCTATTTATTCTGTATATCTTTTTGTGCAGCACTTTGGAAACCTTGTGTTTGTTAAATTCGTGCTATATAAATAAAGTGGATTGGATTGGATTGGATTGGTGTGTTCAAAAGGGCTGAATTATGGTAGAAGGAGTTATTCGACCGAACGTGCGTCCATTCATTGTTAATAGAGCGAAGGTATGTTGAAAAATGACACACCTGGTATGGACTTTTCAGAAAGTGTCTAGGAGCACGTTTCAGGTGTTTCATTTTCATTTTGAGTGGATTGGTATCCACTTTTTTTTTGACACAAAATTTGTTTCTGAGTCAACAGATACTTACTGTAGCCACCGACTATTTCTGTTATTCATTAATATCTCGCGAACTGAAGGTCGTAGAGACTTCAAACCAACGTCCACCACACATAATTCGGCCACAGACTTTCCAATGGTACCACTTTCTACGATGTACGGTTCATGAGATACAATTGATTTAAAAATTGTGTACATTTACGCACATTTCCCGACGTTGTAAAATTTTGAGACTGGTAACGTTGGAAAGGCCATGGTCAATTTAGTGGGGGAAGAACTTGGTTTGAGGTTTCTACGATCTTCCTATCAAGAGATACAAATATGGTAATGTTAAATAATGTTAAATATTTAATTCCAAATGCAGAATTTAAAACAAAATGCAGAATTAATACTGAAATTATAGGGATGAGTGCAGCATTAGACATTGGTCTAATGAGCATGTTTCTCCTCACAGGAAGGTTGTAGAGAGTTCAAAGCAGGTTCAATCTGTTCATTTTTTCCTTCCGCTTCTTTGGGTGTCAGTCTGGACTTCCGGCAATAACCGGAAGTGGGCGTAATTCCGGAAATAGAGGTGAAAATCCTTGTATCTCGGCAAGCGTAGGTCGTAGAGACTCGGGGACAAGTCCTGCGTGTTCAGAAGGGTCAGATTATGACACACGAAGCGCGTTTCCAAGTGTCTGCGACGTTCGGTTCCGGAGTTATTCCCGTTTGAGTGTGTCCATTCATTGCGAATGGGGCGATGGGTTGTTGGAAAATTTCAAAGTGTCAGCCCTAGTATAGGATTTTTCAGAAAGTGTGTAGGAGCACGTTTCGGGCCATTTGGAGTGGATTGGGACAGGTTTGTATGTTGACTTTTTTGGAGTGTCTGAGGTGGTTGGTTGTGTGTAGGCAAGTGTGGGAGTGGTTAGGTTCAGGGTAAGGCTAATGGGAAAGGTGTTAGTTGGAGTGATAGACATGTCAAGAGCGTGCCAGCCATTTGGAAGCTAGGGTTAGGGTAATTGATAGGAATAGGGATGAGTGCAGCATTAGACATTTGTCTAATCAGCATGTTTCTCCTCACAGGAAGGTTGTAGAGAGTTCAAAGCAGGTTCAATCTGTTAATTTTTTCCTTCCGCTTCTTTGGGTGTCGGTCTCGACTTCCGGCGATAACCGGAAGTGGGCGTAATTCCGGAAATAGAGGTGAAAATCCTTGTATCTCGGCAACCGTAGGTCGTAGAGACTCGGGGACAAGTCCTGCGTGTTCAGAAGGGTCAGATTATGGCATGCGGAGCGCGTTTCCAAGTGTCTGCGACGTTCGGTTCCGGAGTTATTCCCGTTTGAGTGTGTCCATTCATTGCCAATGGGGCGATGGGTTGTTGGAAAATTTCAAAGTGTCAGCCCTAGTATGGGATTTTTCAGAAAGTGTGTAGGAGCACGTTTCGGGCCATTTGGAGTGGATTGGGACAGGTTTGTATGTTGACTTTTTTGGAGTGTCTGAGGTGGTTGGTTGTGTGTAGGCAAGTGTGGGAGTGGTTAGGTTCAGGGTAAGGCTAATGGGAAAGGTGTTAGTTGGAGTGATAGACAGTCTGTCAACAGCGTGCCAGCCAGCCATTTGGAAGCTAGGGTTAGGGTTACCCGATAGGGAATAGGGATGAGTGCAACATTAGACATTGGTCTAATGAGCATGTTTCTCCTCACAGGAAGGTTGTAGAGAGTTCAAAGCAGGTTCAATCTGTTCATTTTTTTCCTTCCGCTTCTTTGGGTGTCAGTCTCGACTTCCGGTGATAACCGGAAGTGGGCGTAATTCCGGAAATAGATGTGAAAATCCTTGTATCTCGGCAACCATAGGTCGTAGAGACTCGGGGACAAGTCCTGCGTGTTCAGAAGGGTCGGATTATGGCAGACGGAGCGCGTTTCCAAGTGTCTGCGACGTTCGGTTCCGGAGTTATTCCCGTTTGAGTGTGTCCATTCATTGTGAATGGGGCGATGGGTTGTTGGAAAATTTCAAAGTGTCAGCCCTAGTATGGGATTTTTCAGAAAGTGTTTAGGAGCACGTTTTGGGCCATTTGGAGTGGATTGGGACAGGTTTGTATGTTGACTGTTTTGGAGTGTCTGAGGTGGTTGGTTGTGTGTAGGCAAGTGTGGGAGTGGTTAGGTTCAGGGTAAGGCTACTGGGAAAGGTGTTATTTGGAGTGATAGACATGTCTGTCATCAGCGTGCCTGCCAGCCAGCCATTTGGAAGCTAGGGTTAGGGTTACCCGATAGGAATAGGGATGAGTGCAACATTAGACATTGGTCTAATGAGCATGTTTCTCCTCACAGGAATAGGGATGAGTGCAACATTAGACATTGGTCTAATGAGCATGTTTCTCCTCACAGGAAGGTTGTAGAGAGTTCAAAGCAGGTTCAATCTGTTCATTTTTTCCTTCCGCTTCTTTGGGTGTCAGTCTCGACTTCCGGTGATAACCGGAAGTGGGCGTAATTCCGGAAATAGAGGTGAAAATCCTTGTATCTCGGCAAGCGTAGGTCGTAGAGACTCGGGGACAAGTCCTGCGTGTTCAGAAGGGTCGGATTATGGCAGACGGAGCGCGTTTCCAAGTGTCTGCGACGTTCGGTTCCGGAGTTATTCCCGTTTGAGTGTGTCCATTCATTGCCAATGGGTTAGGTTTGGGTTGGGGTGGGGGTCTCCACCTAAGTGGAGGCCCCCAAAGTGCACTCGCCACCACTGTGGATGGCCAGCTCTCCGTCCCCATCTTCTCAAAAGAGGTTTTATAATCTCACTATCTGAGTTATATTAGACTGGTTCGCCTTTGTTATATGAAGTATAAATATGTGGGTCCTCCTTTTCTCATGTTATGTTCTCTCTCTTGTATGTCAGGTGGCGTTCGCTCGCGACGTTTCGTCCGCTTCTTGGGACTTCTTCAGGCTGCCATGACATACAGGTGGTTTTCTTGTGATTTTAGAGGTAAGTATCCCCTTAAAGTGAGGTAAGTATTCCTATTAGTTGAGGTAAGTATCCCCTTTAGTTGAGGTAAGTATTCCCTTAAGTTGAGGTAAGTATTTAATTTATTTGAGGTAAGTATTTAATTTAGTTGAGGTGAGTATCCCCTAACTATGAGCCCCTCTGGGGAGATGTGGCTCCCTCAGAGGGCCGTGCCAAACTGAATTCAAAATGTCCGCTGCTCCCTTTTGTACTCTGAGCCCCTCCCTTTCTGAAAATTCGTGTTATTCCTCCATTGTAGTGACTTTCTCCAACTGCCATTTCCCATGTCTTTTTCAAATTAAAATCCTTTGTTTCTGGTTCCAATTCTTTGCCTTTAATTTAAATAGTGTTCATATCTATGATTAACACATTGTTCACTGGGTATGTGTGCCTCCCTTTAATGGCTACACTTCATCCATGGGATTTAAATGCCTACTTT